GGAACGGAGAGGTCTTCATAATGAACCAGCATCGCCCACCGTATTTTCCACACACTAATGCTTGAAGTCCACTTAACTACTCTATTTAATTCGGATGCGTTTTCGCATATTCCGATGGTCATTTCGATAATTTCACCTTTCTTTGCAAGTTTAGACACTCCTGCTCGTAAAAAACTGTCTAACAAAGTTTGCCAGCTTCTTTTTTTATCGAGACTAAGGTGATAACGATTCCTGTTGGTGCTGACAGCTACCATGATCTGGTAATCGCTTCGACAGGCAGGCAAAACCAACTGAGGACGCCTTTCTATTCAATTTGGTTGACCATTTCGTCCTATCTCATCAGTCGTCGTCTTGACAGCGGTGATCCACATGTCTTCCTTGCCGCGTTCAAACGCATCCGTTAGACATCTTCAATGTCGTTTAAATTAGTTCACCCGTTTCCAACAATCTACGTCCCACAGTAGGTGGGCTAACTCCTGAAATGTCAACCGAAATTCCGAAATGCGTTTTCGTTTCGAAAAGATTAATTTGGTAGGGTTGTAAAACTAGTCAGCCTACAGCCCAATTTAATAATATTCCAGTTACCTCAGGATGCCGGCTTTCGAATGAACTTCCTTCCGGCTGAATGCAAAAACTACACTCTGTAAAAATGACTGCTTAAGTAGCATGGATTTTTCTCACTGATTTTCGATGCCCCTAAATGTCCAATTATATTTCATGGAAAACATGCATAAAAATATTTATTTTTTTGCTCATTCTGTAGAAAATTACGTCTTCTTCTAATTTTATGCCCGAAGGAGGGACATAATTTAGTTTTTAAAAAGTTTCTAATTGTGGGACTTCTAAATACCGTGAAATGGCCGTTCATAAATCGTCATGTCTCTGCATTTTCCAATGTGGCTCGTAAAGTTAACAATCTGAATGAAATCCACTGCCAAATTTTATGAACCTTATATGGTCCTCCTTTTTTACCGTAGAGAAATGTGTGGTTTGCCGTACACGGAAAATATACAGCCTATAGTCTCAAAACCCTGAATCAAAGTGAAACGGTAGAGAGGGTTCAAAATTATTCGGGAATTGGAAAAGTTGTTGAAAACCGAATTATGTCCCTCCTTCAAGTACAAAATTAGAAGAAGACATAATTTTGGACCGAATGAGCTAGAGAATGAATATTTTTATGCATATTTTCGAGGAATATAATTGGAATTTTAGGGACATCGAAAATCAACGAGAAAAATGCCTACTACACAAGTAGTCATTGTTTACAGAGTTTTGTTTTTGCATGCGGTCGGAGAGAAGTTCATTCGAACGCCGACATCCTGAGGTAACTGAAATATTATAGAATTATGTTGCAGGCTGACTAGTTTTACAACCCTACTTAATGAATCTTTTCGGAACGAAAACGCATTTCGGAATTTCGGTTGACATTTCATGAGTTAGCCCACCTACTGCATGTGTACAAAGCAACACGCGACCTCGCTTCCTAAGTAAATTCGAATTGCAGGACCACGCTGGAGTGCGGCAGCCTTAAGGGACAAGAACACATGTCCCAAGAACAACAACTTTCACCCCTTCCCCCCCCCCCCTTGCCCGCCCGGGAAAGAACCACTGACAACTGGCCAGTGAAACGACGTACAGGTTGATGGATATGAATTGCCGGCATATTCCACCGCAGTTACGTGCGCGCACATCGTGACCTTTGCTGCCTCCTGTCTCATGACCCGCATTCCGGATTTGGGAAGCGCCATGACTTCTTAAGAGAATCGGCGAGGCTCACCACACTGTAGGCTGGCCATTCCAGTCTCCCTTGTCATTGAGGTTGCTGGTTGGGCCCCAAGGCACACTGGGTCCCGTAACACAATCGGTGAGCGCCTCTCTACCATAGGCTGGCATGGCAATTTCACCGTCGCTGGGGACGATGTCCACCGTGTGTGCCCCACAGAAGGGTAGACGTAGAGGCGGTAGTTTGCGCACGGGTTAGTTTGTAGGGATAGCTGACTTACACCGCATCTACCTCACTCTCTCCTCCCTCCTCCACCTGGTCCAGGTGTCTGGGTATAATCAGTTAGACCGGAGACAGAACCGACCGCAGTGATTTACAAGGTTAGACAGTCCGTCTACGCGTGCCACACACACACCTGGTTTACGCACAGTGGACCTTGTCGGCTCAGATCCCAACGGAATGGGGTTGTCATAGAAGCCATATCCAGAAGGAGCCATTACAGCCTAACTCACCGTCCTGAGGGGAGAACCCAGCTAGCCCGTCAGTTGGCGGCCACCCAAGCCACGGCTTTTAACGCACCGTGATAGCTTCGAGCGCGTCAGATTGTTTATAGTGAGGAAGAGTATGCGTTGAGTGCTGTAGGGAGGCAGTCCGCAGAGTTGACCTCACTGTCTTCCGCCTCCCAGGTACCGGTTCACTGTCCAAAAACCGGTCAGTCATCTGTTGCGAGGATTGGGCGCAAAGCGGCTATCGGCCGGCAGCAGCACTTCCGTCCAAAATCCCCAGCTTCCGTCTGCCTCATTTTTTGTGCACCCCCATCTCCCGGCTGCACTCCTTCCCCCCCCCCCCCTGTAACGGCGCACACCTCAATCGCTTCCCCACTTTCACTCAGCAGGGAGTGTGCCGACAAAAAAATGAGGCAGGTTGAGTGGTGAGGCTTCTGAACAGTAAAGTGTACATTCATACTTTCGGGTTTTGCTAACTTCCCTGAGAGATGTCCTCATGACCTTCGTTGTTTTTTTACTTATCGTCTTCTGTCTCGTCACCCCCCCCCCCTATCACGCATCCTCGAACAGTCCACTCGAGCTATCCAGCAGAAACTGTACACCGATGTTGAGGAGGACACCGTGTACCTCCAGCTCCTGCTCATCACCATCGCCTCGCTCGTCCTCGTAGTCTTTGTGGTCTCTATCGTCTTCTCCTGTTGGTGGATCAAGAGTCGTCAGGACAATGAAGAGGAAGCTTTAGGTTTGTGCACTATCCTTACTCTGTTATTCATTAGTCTGTCTAAACTGCCTGCTTTGTGCCGACTGTTATCTTTTGTCATTGCTTTGATGGTTCGATCATTTCGGGGGACGAGGTCAGCCAGTAACCCAGGAGGTGGGTGCAGCCGCAGCTTGCGCACGAATTCCATTTATATCGGGCCAGGCTTGTGTAGCACCCATCTCACCTTCTCCTCTCGCACTCACCGCGTTTTGCTAGGTGCAGACACAGTCCTGACGATCGGAGGCGTGCCTGGGTGTAACAGTTGACAAAGTTGAACGACCCGTCTACGCGTGCCACACACGACCTCGTCCTTAATTCACGCATACCATCCGTCGTTCAGGAGTATTTGTCGGGTCTACCGCAAGTAGGAGCGCCTTAAGGGTCCCAGTAGAAAGGAATCGTTGAGGCCTGATTCTCAGACCTGACTAGAACCGAGTTGTCCCGTCAGTTAGCAGCCATTCAGACCAAGACCTTCAGCGCACTTGCCATACAAGCCGTCTCGCAACATGATTGGCGATCTGCAGTATTCCACCGTGTCTGTTAGCGCTTGCACAAACTGGTGACTATTCCTTCCCATGTATGAGTTTCTAACTGACCATCTTCCACCGCGGGCTGCAGGGACACCTTGAACTTTCTGTGCTGGCACGCAGTCGGGTGACCGGGGACTGCTTGACTGTCTTTCATTGAAAGTGTCGACACAAGGCGGAAAACTTTGAGACAGAGGGGCCACGATAAGCACTGTTAAGCCCCTTTTCCAAACTTGTATTTATGAACGGCGCTTTTTCAATGTGAATCCTGTTGCTGTTGTAATTGAACAAGAAATTGCTCTCCGCGGAACCAGAAAACGCTGGTAACATGACCTTGGCGCTGAAATAAAAGTCACATTCAGCTTTATAAAAGGTACGTATAGTCAACTGTCTGTGGGCTTCGTGAGTTTGCTTGCGCAGAGAGGCTTATGCATTCCTTTGCGGAGAACGTTTGTGGCACACAGTTTGGAGGCCTTTATCCACTTAAGGTAAAATTAAAGCTCACATTTTCGAAGTACATTTTTATCACACTTTTAAACGCGAAAAAATTCACACCTCTAAGTACAGAAAATAAGAAGTAGGTAATTTTCCACAAAGCGGATATGAGCACTTTAAGCCTCAAAAACTGGTCAGAAAATGCATGGTATGTAGTTAGATGTCTAATTACGGACATTGGCATAACTAGATGGGAAGACGTCCTGTCGAAAGCGAACTTGTCCCTCTGCGGGTGAAGTTGCGAAAACCAACCACATTTTCCAGCCAAACGGATAGTCGTTTTTCAAGCTGTCCCAAACCAAAAGCCCTACAACTCCTAGCCACCGCTGGGTGGATTGGAGGGCTGTGCATTGAGGCGCTTTTTGACAAATTTGCAGAGCTGGATTCGGCGCATACACTAACCTATCGGTTGACTGGACCGTTTAACTCACGTTGTCAACTCCCCGCCTCTCCCCTTTTTTTCCTGACAGCGAACAGTAGTCACCAGTCAAAACGCAGGAGAGTTTGCTTTGGCCACCGATGGCCAATCAGCGGTTTCTTGCACGTGTTTGCTGCTAACGAGTGTCGTGCTGTCGACGCTGCGTTCGCCCCTCTTTCTTTTGTGGAGTGCGTTTTCGGGAGAAAAGTTTTGGCAGCAAGTGTAGTAGAATTATTTTTTGTTGGCGCAGGTTGCGGTTTTCCATATGAATTCTCTCTCTCTCTTCTACAAATATACATGTAATTGATGATCGACGCACGCTCATCATCTGGGTGGATAGAAAGAACCGATCAGACTCCCTGCCTGTCTTTCTCCTCTTCTGTTAACTAATCCTCCGTACGATACTGTCAAAAGTTTAACAGTTTTTCACCTAACAGGCTCGAAAAGGAAGCTACGTGGTGTTTGTGGGAGTGGACATTTTTTACTTTCTGTCATGAGTCAGTCATAGCCACAGACCCTGAAGAATAAACTGTGATCCTTACACCCTCAACTACGAGGATCTTTTTTTCCTGCAGAGTTTTGACTTAGCTTCTTATGTTTTTCAGAGGAAAGTAGTAGAAAACAAAAATACTAAAACATGAGACGCGCTAAATGCTTTGAAGATCTGGTGGCATCTTGGGGAAATTCGATTTAACCTTTATACTCGACACCAAAACAAACTTTAGTTATATAATTATCCTTCTTGGGGTTTTTTTCTTTGAAAAAACCGTTTTTGGGGACTGGAAGCATAGAAGTGTGGGAATTTTTTATATTTGATAGGAAATTTCCTCTCTCCTCGGTGTTGGCCCACGGTGGAAATCATGGCTTTCACGTCATTCAAACGCACGATTTAGCTGGACATGCAGGACGGCCTATTGTGGGGACGGTTCCCTGCAGTTCCTAATTTCATAAGTACAGGTCTCTGTCACACCTCTAACACACAAGTTTAGAATTCAATAGTTTTGCCCGGCGCGAGGGAGACTTATTTCTTTGCTACGCAATATTCAGCACATCGAAATATGGCTATGACTGCTGGCTTTTTATAGTTAGCCGATTTGCAAAAATGTATGCTACGAGACCGCCAACTGGTCAACTTCTGGATCCTACTTATTTCGCAGCCATGTATTTGTCGATGATCGTTTTGTTACCCACCGTTCGTAGACTCACCAGGTAGCCCACCACCCGGCCGATGGCCGAACCGCTTTTTCCCGACGTCCATAACGTCGTCGACGAATTGTTGCCAGGCAGAAATGCCGCCGAAATACGTTAGCTCTACACACTTGTAGTAATGGCAGTCATTTCATGCGGAACATGGACCGTGTCATACGTTGAATGATGGTAGAGAGGGTTTTACTGGTGAGGCAACATGCAGGGCGCAATGCAAAAAGACACAGAAAGTTAATTGCCAAAAGTCTTGTTGCGAGCTGTCCTATGACACAGAAAGTGAGCGCGATGATTTAAAAAAAGCAATTTGCGAAAGTGGCGGATTTTGAATAAACCGGCTCTGGCGAGATTACATTCATTCCGGAAGCCCAAGAGATTGCAATCAGCAGGGACAATGAATCGGAAGTGATGTTTGCAATCACAAGGACTGTTAGAGCATATGTTTGATTTGCCAGTTACCTGGGGTTCTACAACCTACCGTTACCGCACAGTCTGCTACAAAAACGCGTTCTGTTAAGGAAGTCTTCTAACCAAAATTCGACATGCGCATTCTAAACGAATGGATGTGCTTAACCGAACCCTGCTGAGGATCGTCTCAGTTTACTCCGTTGTTAAAGTGCTCCGCTGTTCGAAATCCCCTTTTCTTGTTCAGTCTCTCTCGGCCCTCTCTGGTTCAAGTCTTCGTGATAAAACTGGCAATCCGTCTTTCTATATTCAACGTACAGTAGATGTGCTAACTCATGAAATGTCGATCAAAATTTCGAAATGAGTTCTCGTTTCGAAAAGATAAATTAAGTAGTGTTGTAAAACTGATAATGATGCAGCATAAACCTATAATGATTCAGTTACGTCAGGGTGTCCGCTTTTGAAAGAACTTATTTTCGGCTGCATGCAAGATCTATACTCTGCAAAAAATGACTACTTATGTCGTATGCAAGTTTCTCATTGATTTTCGATGCCCTTGAAAATTCAATTATATTTCGTGGAAAACATGCATGAAAATATTTATTCTTTTACTCATTCGGTAGAAAATCACGTCTTGTTCCAAGTTCATACTCAAAAGACGAGTATAATTCGGTTTTAAAAAACTTTTCTAATTCCCGAATAATTTTGAACCCGACTTGCTGTTACACTTGCATTCAGGGTTTCAAATCAACAAGCTGTATATTTTCCGTGTACGGAAAACCATGCATTTCTCTACGGTGTTAAAAGGAGACCATATGAGGTTCATGAAATTAAACAGTGGATATGAGCAATACTGTTAACTTTACAAGCCACATTCGTAAATGCAGATACATGACGTCTCATGAACGGCCATTTAAGGGTATTAAAAAATCTCACAATTAGAAACTTTTGAGAACTGAATTATAATCTTCGTTTGAGTATGAAATTGGAAGAAGACGTGATTATCCACCGGACAAGTAAAAGAATGAATATTTTTATGCATTTTTTCATGAAATATAATTGAATTTTCAAGGGCATCGAAAATCAATCAGAAAATTGCATGCTACGTAGGTAGTCATTTTTTGCAGAGTATAGATCTTGCATGCAGCCGAAAATAAGTTCTTTCGAAAGCCGACACCCTGAGGTAACTGGATCATTATAGATTTATGCTGCATCATGATTAGCTTTACAACACTACTTAATTTATCTTTTCGAAACGAGAACGCATTTCGAAATTTTGGTCGACATTTCACGAGTTAGCACATCTACTGTACCTCAGCTCTGTATCTGATGTTCTGCTGATCATACTGGAAAGGTCTAAGTCATGCTCTAAATACGAGTAGAGCTCTACAGAATAGTAGTAATGGCAGTCATTGCATGCCGAGCATGCAAAAGTAAATCTATCGAAAAGTTGCCAGCTAGCCGGTATAAATCGGCCGGCAGCGATAGGTTATAGGACCCCCAACTAACTGGAGATAGCCTGTGGACTGTGTCTTACGTTGAATGATGGTGGGGGAGGGGGGTTTATGGGTGTGACAGCACTCAAGACGAACAGCAGGCGGCATGCATGAAGACACACGATGACTGGTAATAGCCGCTGACTCTCTTGTTAACCCTGTAACTTCGCGTATTTTCAATTTCTATGTAACTCTTTCGGCCTGATGACGACTTACCAAAAAAGCGTGTTTGCCAAATTGAATTTTCAAGTAAATGTCTGCCAAGGGTCTTACTGAATGCTGTTATACGACAAAGAAAGTGAGCTCAGTGGAAAGCTATTTCCAAAAAATAACGGATTTTGAATAAACCGCCGATGGCAAGTTTGCATCAACCTAGGAGGAGAAGGAAATTCCAACCAACGGTGAATAATAACAGATGCTGTCAGTCACACGGTATTTTAGTGTACATGCTGGAGTTGCCAGCTATGTGGTGTCCTACAACCTACCGTTACCAATCGGCCCTAGTGAAGAGCAATTTCTGGTCATTTGGAGACTTAAAGTCAAGCTGCAACGGCTCATTCTCAGCGTGGCCAGTAAGGCGATCTCCTCTTTGTGGTATTTAAGCTGCCTTTACTGCAGCATGGAAGTCGGGAACCGGCTCGTGTGTGGCCCGCGTAGACGAACTATTTAACCTTGTCAGCCACGCCGTGCACGCCCATCTCCGATCGAGCAGGAATCAGAAACGTCAAGCAAATAGAGCTCTTGTCCTAGCGATCGTTCCTCCTTCTTCATGTCTTGCTTCTGTCTTGCCATCGGAGAAGTGCGGGTAGGGGGAGAAGGAGTGTTCTAGGTGCTCCGCAATTCCGCTGCCCATTCCGTGGGGCACATGGTGGATGTCGTCGCTTGCAACAGTCAAATTGTCGGACGTGGATCAGATCGCCGTTTCACCGTGTAGTCACTTTTTTTTATATATTCTTTAAAAAGCTATTACTATGGGAAAACTTGGCTGCAAGGCTTGCAAGAGAGACGCGGAGACGCTGGCCGTTTCAGGCGTTTAAGGCCCTCTTAAGCCAGCCTGTGCCTGTTTCGCGGAGTTCCCCCTAATGCTTTTTAATCCCTTTTTTTATATCGAAGACAGTTTGCTGTGAACATCCACTTAAGTGCTCTTTTGGTTATTACCTTTGCCCTGTAAATTCCGGTTTTCACGAATTTTGTTGTCGTTATTTCAGCCTCCGAATACGTAGATATAACGGATCAGGTAGGGCATCATTCACGAAGACGATTGTCGTCCAGTCGCATGCGCACATCTTCACTTCTGCATGAACTTTTCTCCAGACACTTTATCAGTTCTCTGGAAATCGCTCCTCATCCTTATCCATCCCTCCTACTACTCCTCCTCCTCCTCTGCCCTTCCAAAAATGTATTTTTTCAATCGCATGCCAAACAAAAGTTACATGTTTCACAGCCATCCTCCCACTCCTCCCCCTCTTTCTTGGCTTCCCCTACCCTCGTTCTCCCTTTATTGTCTTCTCTTTTCCTAATCATTCTTCTCTCCCTCCGCCACCACCACCACCACAACCGTCATCGCCATTCCCGCAATATTTCCTTCCTATCCCCTACTCATTCATATTTCTTGCCTGCCGTCTGTCTTTCGTGAGTTCTATTTTAAGGGCTGTTCATATGCTTCCCGACCTTCTCATGCTGTTTTAAGGTGGACCTAAAACACCTGTGCGAATCCGCCTCAGGCAGTCAGCTGAACCAACTGGCTAATGGACGCACCTCTGCCGACGGAGATATTGAACTGCTGTCGTTGGGCCAAACATTTTTGGGAGCTCAGCGTCCGGAGGAGAAGTTGGATGAGGTTAGTTGCCTTTGTTGGTTTTTTAACAGCTCCTCCAAGCAAGTTGCTGTTTGCTGACCCTAATTTGGCTTTTGCGCGAATCTCCTCTCTGTGTGTTTCCAACTCAACTGATACTCGGAACTTATCTTCAGGTCTCAAAGTTCCACCTAAAACAATGATATAAAGTGTCTGAAGAGGTAGAAACGATTTGTGCAACAAGAGCTTTATTCGCCTGATGTTTCGGATTCCTGCTTGAACTCATCATCAGTGACAATAGCTGTGCCTTAAGGGCTTTCTCTCGAGCCCAACCAGCAGCCGCACAGCGGCGCATGATATATAGGCAGAATGGCATTACCCACAAAGACAAGGGAGACTGGAATGGCCATTTCTGGCTTATTAGCCGTCGTCAGCCAGCTATACCCAAGCTCGAAGTGTGGAACACCCGAGCCTCGAATTCACGACCTGTTAGTTAGAAGTCCACGCCTCTAACCACTGGGCCACGAGCCCGTTGCTCTATCGGTTTCGATCGGTGAGCGTCCCCTGCCATCGTATATTCCCGATCGAAAAACCGACAGGGCAACGGGCTCGTGGCCCGGTGGGTAGAGGCGTGGACTTCTAACTAACAGGTCGTGAATTCGAGCCTCGGGGGTTGTGCCACACTTGGGGGTTGGGCATGGCTGGCTGACGACGGCTAATAAGCCAGAAATGGCCATTCCAGTCTCCCTTGTCTTTGTCGGTAATGCCATTCTTCCTATATATCATGCGCCGCTGTGCGGCTGCTGGTTGGGCTCGAGAGAAAGCCCTTAAGGCACAGCGAAACGAGTGAGTTCCGTATGAACGATCGGTGAGGGCTTGCTGGAACAAGAGCTTTATTCGCCTGACGTTTCGGATTCTCGCCTTAACCCATCATCAGAGAGAGCGCGTTTCTGTCCCTCTCCTTCTCCCTGATGGTGGGTTTAAGTGCGAATCCGGAACGTCAGGCAAGTGAAGCCCTTGTTCGAGCGATCATCTCTACTTCTCATCAGATATAAAGCCTTCTGGCTGACTTTAGACGGGAAAAATTCATAAACATGCCTCAAAGTCAACTCTTTTCCCTTACACTTGAGGTCCATCCGAGGCATTGTGGCAAATCAACTTTGGTAGGAAGCGGGATTATGGTCTCCCCTCTTCTCCAATCACAGATGGTCTTACCTTAAGCTCCAAGCGACTAGAGTTAGGGTTGGTTTCGAGGTTAGGGTTAGGACTAGGAGAGTTACGGTTAGGATTAGGATAAGTGATAGGATTAGGGCCGAGCTTATACCACGGCAATGGGAGTCCCCTAGAATTTATCGCGAGCCCAGATGCAGTACTGGGGGAGTGTCAATACCCCGGCGTTCAACTGACTGGCTTTTAGGCAGCGTAACATTACCGACAAAGACGGTGGGGACTGGAATGGCCATTTCTGGTTTATTAGCCGTCATCAGTCAGCCATACCCAGTTTCAGGGTTTTGTCACCCCTGAGGCTCCAAGCCCTGACCAGTTGGTTAACAGGTATGGGCGCTTGCGATAGTGTTTGTTTGATCCTTCACCAGGGATGTATTTTTAGAGCAGGTCCCTCCTCGAACAGCGATGTGCCCAGGGAGACTCCACAAAGAGCACTTTTATGTTTTCTTCAATTGAATTATTGCAGACACTGTGGTCGAACTCCCTGAATACTTTGTCTCATTGAAGTTGTCTTTGAAGAGGTGGGGCAGCCCGAATAGTGGCAGTTTCCAGACTGTCCAACGTAAGTGTCCGAAATTTCTCATCCGCAACCACCACAGTCGAGCTCGGAGCCAAGTAGCCAAGCCCTGTAAATGTAATGTGGTAAACAGCGCTGGAAAACAGAGCTTTCGGCGCTTCGGCAGTGTGAGTGCTCTCAAAATATTGTTTTAAGTGCCCTCATGTCCCAGGGATGAAGCTGGCAGCCGAAGAGTCCTTGGGTGTCCTTGGACATGTTTAGGAAACCCGGTCTGCCGTCGCACTTTCATTCATGGTTTCCAAACTACAGTAGATGTGCTAACTCAAGAAATGTCAACCAAAATTTCGAAACGCGTTCTCGTTTCGAAAAGATAAATTAAGTAGTGTTGTAAAACTAATCATGATGTAGCATAAATCTATAATGATCCAGTTACCGCAGGGTGTCGGCTTTCGAAAGAACTTATTTTCGGCTGCATTCAAGATCTACACTCTGCAAAAAATGACTGATTAATTAGTATGCAATTTTCTCATTGATTTTCGATTCCCTTGAAAATTCAATTATATTTCATGGAAAACATGCATAAAAATATTCATTCTTTTACTTATTCGGTAGAAAATCACGTCTTCTTCCAATTTGATACTCAAAAGAAGAGTATTATTCGGTTTTAAAAGACTTTCCCATTCCAGAATAATTTTGAACCCGACCTGCTGTTACACTTGCATTCAGGGTTTCAAAACTACAAGCTGTATTTTTTCCGTGTACGGAAAACCATGCATTTCTCTACGGTGTTAAGAGGAGACCATATGAGGTTCATAAAATTAAGCAGTTGATTTAAGCAATATTGTTAAATTTACAAGCCACATTGATAAATGCAGAGACATGGCGTTTTATGAACAGCCATTTAACGGTATTAAAAAATCTCACAATTAGAAACTTTTTTAAAACCGAATTATACTCTTCTTTTGAGTATCAAATTGGAAGAAGACGTGATTTTCTACCAAATAAGTAAAGGATGAATATTTTTATGCATGTTTTCTATGAAATATAATTAAATTTTCAAGGGCATCGAAAATCAATGAGAAAATTGCATACTAATTAATCAGTCATTTTTTGCAGAGTATAGATCTTGAATGCAGCCGAAAATAAGTTCTTTCGAAAGCCGACACCCTGTGGTAGCTGGATCATTATAGATTTATGCTACATCATGATTAGTTTTACAACACTACTTAATTTATCTTTTCGAAACGAGAACGCATTTCTAAATTTTGGTTGACATTTCATGAGTTAGCACATCCACTGTACAAGTTGAAAATTTTCCTTGTAAGGAAAATCATTCGTTCCTTTATGCCTATTACAAGGATTTATATAGGACTCATAAATGTGTGCAATGCATGTGGACTATGTTACATACTTTATAGGCGGCATTAATAAGCCTGCAAGTGCTATGCGTTATGAATGGGGATTTTAATCTCGTAACTAGAAACCTTTAAAACCAGAAAATACCTTTTCTTCCAGTACATACTTTTAAGAAGATGTAATCTACTACCAAATGAATATAAAAAACAATATTTTGGCATTATGAGTTAGTATATTTGGAGTAAACGACAGAAGCCCTGAAAACTCCATTTAGAGGGTACAGATGTAAGGGAAAATAGTTAAATTGCGAAACTTTTGTTTGCAGTTTTAGTAAGAAAAATTCATTAATCTAATAATGTAAAATAAAGGCCAAAGGGGTATGGTATTCGCGAAATAAGTGCGAAAACCTTTGTTCACCGTATTCGGGCTGTGAAAATTTCCACATAGGCTAAGTTTGACGCACAAAAAGGATCTGTTGAAATCCTGTTAGTAGTATATTTATAGTCATTTCGGTTTTCCGTTAAAACAGGCTTTGCCAGTTCGGGTTGCCTTTCAGCAGGTGTGTATCCAGGTGTCTCTTGAACACGTTCAGGGTAGGAGAATTAACAACATACTCCGGCAAAGAGTTCCATTGGCGAATGACCCTCTGTGAGAAAAAGGAGTAACGTTTATTTGTGTGGCACAATTCCCTTTTAACCTGGTAATAATTTCGTCTGAGATTAGACTTGGGTACCATTTCAAAAAACGTTTCCCAGTCGACATCCAGATTAAGTCCTTTTACCAACTGGAACGTTGCTATGAGGTCACCTCTGTTCTGCCTGTAGTGGAAGGGATGGAGTTTCAAGGCCGTCAGGCGCTGCTCGTACGTGAAATTTTGGAGGCCATGAACAGCCTTTGTAGCACGCCGTTGTACACCTTCAAGCATATATATATCCTTCCGAAGCCGCGGCCGCACCTTGAATATGAGGTACAGGCTTGGCGGCCGAGGCTTTCCATAAAAATTATTTTAATTTATAGGGGTATCGAAAACCAATGAAAAAATTTTACCACCTCTGTTTTAGAGTGTGATTTCTGCAGGCGGCCTGAAAGAAACTCGTCCAGTCCCAAGGCGTGGCTGAAATGTCGTGGGATGATGCTGCACATTAATTAGTATTGTAACCCTCCTTAACGAATCTTTCCGAATTAAAAGCACATTTCGAAGCGCATAGAATTGATTGATTGATTGGTCATGGAGCGGGAGCCAGGCGCCATACCCATCAACCTGAAACTCCTGCGTTCATGCTGTTTTTTTTTAAAAAATTCTTTTTTCGAAGTCCTGCTATCTCTAATGCCGATTTCGCCTTTTAAACTCTCTAATCTGATCGATCTCTTTGTCTTACTCACTTATTAGGAGAGTTTTGAACGTACCTATTTTCTACCCCTCCTCATTTTCAAATCTAGTTGCTCTGTGGGACTGAGTATGCTACGTTTGCGGCCCTAGAGGAACACCAGGATACCAAGGTCTGTGAAGTGTCCATGCCTGGTACAACGCACACACAGCCTCGTTACACAATTGCGGGGGCCAATAGCAACGGTTCTGGAGGCACCCTTGGTACCATCATTGGCATCCCCACATCAGTATGTCCAACCGCCTCGGCTGTACCCTCCCTACCTCGTGACGGCCTCCTTCTCGTCAGCGCTGATAACGCTCTCACACACACGATCAGCAACACAACGGATAGAACGGGCAGTACGTAATCCTACTTGCCTTTTTTAGCTAAGCATTTCCGAGCCGTAGAAACTCAATTCGACCAAGCGAAACCTGCTCAGTGAATATCTTGTTTAGTTACCTTATCCAGGGACGGCATTTGAGAACTCCGTTTATAATATGCGGGATATTGCTACTTACTTTATTTGAGTAAACATTTTGTTTCGCTAAATATTATCACAGTCTCCCAGTAATCTTCCAACGTTGCTGCCTGTTTGTACTTTCATAAAAAGGCTATGTTAATTATTTATTTGGCAGTCTTTTGGATCACCTTGCATTTGATTTGAATATAGCTTCAAAGTCTTCGCAGTGAGGTCTTCAAGAAATCGTTGTAAAACAGTCAGGGTTTGCCGAACTGCGCCCTTTCTTCGCACCTAAAAGAATATTATGAGAGGATGTTGTTCGCGTTGAACTGCGGAGGCCTTGGGAATGCTGGAAGAGACAGTGGTAAATACGGCGCAACTCCCCCACAGTAAACCAAATAATCTATCCTGCAGTAGTCAATTCAGTAACGGAACAACTTCACCAATATAAGCCCCCTGTGTTCCAGTCTCCATCAGATTAAGAGGCAGGGTCTACCGTTTGGTACAGCCCTTTGGAATAGGAAGCACATCAATCCAAAGCTGGCTTCCAGTCAACTCATGTTTTATTACGTTCATTTCTCTAGACCTGCTGCCTGGATCAAGTTCGACAACGGGCCGGACACGTCATGTTGCTAAGGAGTTCCTCGATGAAACAGTACTCAACACGGCAACACGTAGGAAACGCTCAAAGAATGTGGTGTCGCCACAAACTGTTCAGATAGCCTCGACCGGCGGTTTTGCTTCACTAGTACCTGTTCCTCAGCCCGTCATTCTACTGCCTGCCTCTGGAGGTGCTGGTGCGGATCCAAATGCCGCTTTCCTTTTAGCGTCTTCCACTGCAGGTAGCGTGTAAACCTATTTTTTTTCTAGCCTCTTGAGCATAATTCTGTCGCTCATGCACTAATAACTCGTGTCACATTTCAACAGTAACGTGGATCACTTAAGGCGCCTTAGTGGCATTTTGACGGAAATGCTTCTGTTATTTAGGCACCGTGATGCGGCCTATGTCACCGGTGCATGTTCTGGGAACCCTCGACACAGGTGGTGCGACGTTAATGCCCTCAGTAATGGCGTCCCTGCCTCAGTCTAACCAGTGTGAGCTGCATCCCACATCTTCAGGCGGCACCCTCTTTGTTCAAGTGAACTCATCCCATCCACCGACCGCTGAGCAGGTACGTTGCACCTCCCTTTTGTTTACACTCTCACGGCAAAACAGTTTGAAAATGCTGGAATTTCTGCTGCCATCATCAATAGGTTTGTCAAGTTTTTAGCCAATCTTACTCTGAGTTCCATCTGTTTGTCTCCTGTAGTCAATTTAAACGTATTACTTCCATTTTGTAAGTAGCACTGTTTATGCCTTATTAGTTTGCTCGTCTGAGTCCTCTTCCGGATGCTGGCACCGAGGTTGTTTCCGGAAGCGGTCTACCGGTCTCCGTTCTTACTGCGCCCTATGTGGCAGACGAACTGCTGGCTGAGATGGCTGCCTGCCCGCAGCACAGTTACCTGGTTCGACAACAGATTAACAAAACCTTTGAGGCCTCACCACCTGACGCCTCCTCGCCGGTAACCACGTATGAATCGCCGCCTAATGGTTAGTCTAACTTCAGTCGCTGCTTTATTGTTTACACTTTCAACCTACTATATTTATTTATTGACTTTAAACTGCATCTGAGTGCATAAGAGGAATACGCTCTCGTCTGGATGCTATCACTCGTCCAAATACTTTCGCTTTTAACCATTAACTCAAGACAACCTCCGAAAGATCTGGCAGCCTAAAGCGTTGGTAGATAAACACATGGCTGGGTCGTTAAACCCCCCATTTATCACGCTCAGACCTCTCCTTAAATTGACTTAAGACTCAGTGATGGACCACGTTTACCTCCACAGAGCGGCCGTTATCAACCTTTTTGCCTCATTTCGCAGTCCTTATTTAAAAATTTTAACCGTCCTCTCGACGTTCTCTCGGCCATACGCAGTTTGACTAAACAACCTGTAAGCTTATGAGACTCCTAGAGCAGATAACATACTAGGCGGTAAATGCGTTCGCCGATCTCTCCTGAGTACAGGCGTTTCGCTCTGCCTTATTTTCCAGTCGATGGGTTTGTCTGCGGTCACACCGGCATCAAACGGAGAGCAAATCAGGAGGAGCCATAACTCATCGAGCCCGATGCCAAGACGTTGTCGAAGAACAAGTATACCATGTTCATTCTCTTCTCACTATTTGCGCACGCATCCACTTGTCACTAAAGTAATATAATATAATAGTGTATTTTAGGGTAATAGGCAATGCCCTTGATGACCCTATTGAAAACGGTGCATAAAATATAAATGTTGAATGTACATCTTACTAAAATTGTGTCAGTAACATATTTGTCCACGGTATTGCTGAGACTTGCGTTCGCATGCTAGTCTTTATCTTACGCTGCGGACTCATCGTGCCTTTCATCTTCAAATGTCGAACGTGCTGTTTATTTATGCCGAATTTTTTGAACCAAACGATCTGTTGAAATCCGATCCCTGACTTGCAGAAGCCTGGAATTTGGCTTAGATCATTGTTCGGCCCTGCCTCTTACATGCATATCGAACCCCTCTGCGTCAAGCAGGTACTCACAATGTTTCAGTCTCGCCAGCCAATAATGTGCCGGCTTCTGCTAGAACCCCTACTGTACCCGATCACTTGAATTGATGATTAGAGTAGGGGTATTGTTCGTCGAAAAAGTGTTCGCACATCGTGTGCTATCGGAGCCGCCTTCGTGAAGGTCCGGCACATTCTTCTGGCGCCATGTCGTATGTGTGGCACGCGCAGACGGACCACTTAGTTATTGCGCTGAGCCCGCCTCCGATCTTCCCGACAAATTTTCTTGTAGCCGGCCCTAAGTTGGTGAGGTACAGTAGGTGCGAAATGCGTTTTCGGTTCGACAAGTTTAAGTAATTAGGATTGTAGAATTAGTAAGTTTGCAACATAATTCTATAATATTTCAGTTACCTCAGGATGCCGGCTTTCGAATGAACTTCCGTCCGGCTGCATGCAAAAACTACACACTTTAAAAAATGACTGCTTAAGTAGCATGGATTTTTCTTACTGATTTTTGATGCCCCTAAATGTCCAATTATATTTCATGGAGAACATGCATAAAAATATTCATTCTTTTGCTCATGCCGTAGATACCTACGTCTTCTTCTAATCTTATACTCGAAGAAAGGGCATGAGTTTGTTTTCAAAACTTTTTCCGATTCCCGAATAATTTTGAACCCGCTCTACCGTTACACTTAGATTCAGGGTTTCCAAACTACAAGTCGTATATTTTCCGCGTACGGTAAACCACACATTTCTCTACGGTAGTAAGGGGGGACTATATAGGGTTCATAAAATTTAGCAGTGGATACAATCCATATTGTTAATTTTACGAACCACATTGGTAAATGGAAAGACACGACGACTTATGAACGGCCATTTCACGGCATTTTAAAGTTCCACAATTCGAAGCATTTTTAAAACCGAATTATGTCCCTTCTTCGAGTATAAATTTGGTGAAAGAAGAAGAAGACCTAATTTTCTGCCGAATGAGCAAAACAATGAGTGTTTTTATGTATGTTTTCCATGAACTATAATTGGACATTTGGGACATTTAAAATCAATGAGGAAAATTCATGCTACATAAGTAGTCATTTTTTAAAAGAGTGTAGCCGACCCTAAGTTGGTGAGGTACAGTAGGTGAGCTAACTCATGAAATGTCAATCGAAATTCCGAAATGCGTTTTCGGTTTGACAAGTTAAAGTAAGTAGGATTGTAAAATTAGTAAGCTTGCAACATAATTCTATAATATTTCAACTACCTCAGGATGCCGGCTTTCGAATGAACTTTCTTCCGGCTGCATGCAAAAACTACACTATGTAAAAAATGGCTGCTTATTTAGCATGCATTTTTCTTATTGATTTTGGATGCACTTAAAAATCCAATTATATTTAGGGGAAAACATGCATAACAATATTCATTCTTTTGCTCATCCGGTAGATAACTACGTCTTTTTCTAATCCTATACTCGACGAAAGGGCATGAGTTTGTTTTCAAAACTTTTTCCAATTCCCAAATAATTTTGAACCCGCTCTACCGTTACACTCAGATTCAGGGTTTCCAAACTACAAGTCGCATATTTTCCGCGTACGCAAAACCACACATTTCTCTACGGTAATAAAGGAGGACCATATAGGGTTCATAAAACTTAGCAGTGGATTCGATCCATATTGTTAACTTTACATGCCACATTGGTAAATGGAAAGACATGACGATTTATGAACGGCCATTTCACGGTACTTAAAAGTCCCACGATTCGAAACTTTTTTAAAACCGAATTATGTCCCTTCTTCAAGCATAAATTAAGAGGAAGAAGAAGAAGACCTAATTATCTGCCGAATGAGCAAAACAATGAATGTTTTATGTATGTTTTCCATGAAATATAATTGGACCTCTAGGGCCATTTAAAATCAATGAGAAAAATGCATGTTACATAAGTAGACATTTTTTAAAAGAGTGTAGCCGGCCCTAAGTTTGTGAGGTACAGTAGGTGAGCTAACTCATGAAATGTCAATCGAAATTCCGAAATGCGTTTTCGGTTCGACAAGTTTAAGTAATTAGGATTGTAAAATTAGTAAGTTTGCAACGTACTTCTATAATATTTCAGTTACCTCAGGATGCCGGCTTTTGAACGAACTTCCTTCCGGCTGCGTGCATAAACTACACACTGTAAAAGATGACTGCTTATGCAGCATGGAATTTTCTCATTGATTTTCGATGCCCTTAAGGATTCGATTATATTGCATAGAAATCATGAATAAAAAATATTCGTTCTCTTGCTCATTCGGTAGCAAATGACGTCTTCTTTTAATTTTATACTCGAACGAGGGAAATAATTCGGTTTTAAAAAAGTTTCTAATTGTGGGACTTTTTGATACCGTGAAATGACCGCTCATTAATCGTCATGTCTCTGCATTTACCAATGTGGTTTGTAAAGTTAACAGTTTGGATCAAATCCACTGCTAAATGTTATGAACTCTATATGGTCCCCCTTTATTACCGCATAGAAATTTGTAGTTTTCCGTATGCTGAAAATATACGGCCTTTAGTTTGGAAACCCTGAATCCAAGTGTGACGGTGGAGTGAGTTGAAAATTATTTGGGAATTGGAAAAGCTTTTGAAAATCGAATGATACCTTTCGAGTACAAGACTGGATGAGGACGTACTTATCTACCAAATGAGCTAAAGAATAAATATTTTTAATGCATGTCTTCCATGAAATATAATTCGAGATTTAGGGGCATCGAACATCTGTGAGAAAAATTCATGCTGCTTAAGTAGTCATTTTTTTCACAGTGCAGTTTTTGCAGGCAGCCGGAAGTACGTTCAGTCGAAAGCCGGCACCCTGAGGTTACTGAAATATTATACAATTATGTTGTAGACTGACTAGTTTTACAACCCTACTTAATTTATCTTTTCGAAACGAAAACGCATTTCGGAATTTCGGTTGACATTTCATGAGTTAGCTCACCTACTGTAGAAGAAAGTGTGGTAGATGCCGCGCAGTTTTACCTTACTAAAATCTGATTCACGCACAAGTCACCGTCTTACGCCCATCACGTTTGAAGTGTGTAGGACTTATTCCTTCCAAACTTCATGATGACCCTGTTACCTTTTTTTCCGAAGTTAGTTAATCAGCCCTTTACCTCTCCGTTTCCGTTTTTTGCTATCGCAGAGTCAGCTACCACCACTGAAGCCTCAGACCCACCCAAAGAGCCGGAGTTGGACTCCACGGCCACATCTGCTGAATTGGTGAGTCTTGGCTCGAACTCATTCTGCATACCTTTTGCAGCATTTTAAGCCAGTGCCTCTATTTGGTACCCTGTTGATCGGTCAAAGCCCGTCTAACCCTCGTGATCACGGTGTCAACGTTACTTTGCCATGTTGGAATATGGGACTGATTGCAACTATACTAAACTGGCCAGTCGAATTGAAGCCTCCTTGCTGGTACAGTCGCTCCGTTTACTCAGTTAAATATCACCATTACTACTGGTACTAATACTACTTATTGACTGCAAGTAGGCGTTGTTTGTAAGCATAAAGATGTGACGGGACGCAACTACAACGGGCAGAAAGCACTTTCCTTGATACACTATGGAAGTACGAAAGTAATACGGCCAGAAAAGTGGTCTTGTTTTGTCTTACTACTACAACTACCACTACTACTACTGCAGCTACTACTGCCGCTACCACCACCACTAACACTACTACCACGATCACCCTGTACAAAAGAAAAATACAATTTTTCTGAACAGAGACTAATTTATTGTGAACTTGAGCATAGCGGTTCTTCCGGTCATCTGCCGTTGCACCTACTCCGGATTCTCCGCCAAGATTCGACGAATACAAATGGCTAGAAGGGAACGAATCGCTTTGCGTCCTAAATTGCAATCAGTTGCTTATCTGCCAGAGGATAGAAGACACTAACCCTGCCTTGCGGCAATGAAGAGAGACTTGAGGGCCTCGCTGGCTTTTTGACCCTGTGGATCATTCTTCAGGTAGTCCTTCATTTTCTTCACGTTCTCCATTATCTGCTGACCAACATCAAGTTCCTAAATAATGCAAAAAGGGGATGCAGGGAGAGGGGGTTGGGTGGTTAAAAGAACAACGTCCATTTCAACTGGATGCCAGTGGTTCGGGCATAGGAACCGTGATGTGGATTACAAATTTCATTGTAGCTACGCACAGCATTAAGCCTCATTGCACAGACATAAGGCACAAGAGGGAATAAAGAAACAGTGCGGTGTATGAACGACACCGCTGTGCTCTGAACATACCTCATCTGCCCTAGAAACGAAAAAGTGTCATCTCACCAAGGTTCGAAGAGGGTGCCTACCTGGCTGGGGCCGCTGTGAAGGCTAGAAGGACGAGCGCAAAGAGACAGACCGTTGTGGTGTGCATTTTGCAGTCTTGATGGGTGGATGAATGCGTCTCCCTCCGGGGGGAGGCTTTATAAGTCTTCTCATGAAGAGGGTGCACACGGCCTCTGACCCCGACCGACCTCGAGCGGTCGAATTTGGCCACAAAGTTTTCCGGTGTTTATGAGAACATTGGCCTCTGCTACAGCGGTCAAATGACTGACCCTTGACTGTGTTTGATTTTGCACAAGAGTGCTGTCAGCTTAGTGTGTTTGCTCTTTCAAAGGGGTACCATTTCACATCACGGTGAGAGAGAGACCACAGAGAGAAGTTAATAGACAGACAGAGCGAGAGAGAGAGAGAGGGACAACCCTGCCGTTGGATATATGTTTGTATCTACGAGAGACCCCGCGCTGGACCAACACAAGGGCTAGATTGAGGCCCGGCAGGCGTTATCGGGAATGCGCAACCATAACAGATGCCGGCATTTGGGGGCTTGGCGTCCGATCCAGGCACAGACCCACGCCGTGCCAATTAGGATCCATGCCGCTCCCTTTTTCCCTTGTATAAAATCCTGGTCAGTGTATGTCCTCGGTCAGGGCCAGTACTACTACTACTACTACTACTACTACTACTACTACTACTACTACCACTACTACTATTCCAACTACTTCGATTAATACTGTTGCTAGTAGTAGTAGTAGTAGCAGCAGCAGTATTAGTAGTAGTAGTAGTAGTAGTAGTAGTACTACTAGTAGTAGTAGTAGCAGCAGTAGTAGTAGTAGTAGTAGTATTAGTAGTAGTAGTAGTAGTAGTAGTAGTAGTAGTAGTAGTAGTAGTAGCAATAGTAGCAGTAGTAGTAGTAGCAATAGTAGCAGTAGCAGTAGTAAACACTCGCTAGTACTGATGTCATTGCTGTTATCATTTCTACAGTTACTACTACTACTGCTACTACTACTACTACTACTACTACTACTACTACTACTACTACTACTACTACTACTACTACTACCAGTTACACTGCGTCTAAGACAACTACTAGGCTTCGGTGCTAATGATTTTAGAGCTGTCAGTAAAATATAAGCAGTGATTATCCCCTTTTTAGTAAGGCGCGTCTCCTGTGTCTCCATTTCACATCACGGTGAGAGAGAGAGAGCACAGAGAGTAGTTGATAGACAGACAGACCGAGAGAGAGAGAGAGGGACAACCCTGTCGTTGGATATATGTTTGTATCTACGAGAGACCACGCGCTGGACCAACACAAGGGCTAGATTGAGGCCCGGCAGGCGTTATCGGGAATGCGCAACCATAACAGATGCCGGCATTTTGGGGCTTGGCGTCTGACCCAGGCACAGACTTACGCCGCGCTGATTAGGATCCATGCCGCTCCCTTTTTCCCTTGTATAAAATCCTGGTCAGTGTATGTCCTCGGTCAGGGCCAGTACTACTACTACTACTACCACTACTACTATTCCAACTACTTCGATTAATACTGTTGCTAGTAGTAGTAGTAGTTGTAGTAGCAATAGTAGTAGCAGCAGCAGCAGCAGCAGCAATAGTAGCAGTAGTAGTAGCAATATTAGCAGTAGCAGTAGTAAACACTCGCTAGTACGGATGTCATTGCTGTTATCATTTCTACCGTTACTACTACTACTACTACTACTACTACTACTACTGCTGCTACTACTACTACTACTACAACCAGTTACACTGCGTCTAAGACAACTGCTAGGCTTCGGTGCTAATGATTTTAGAGCTGTCAGTAAAATATAAGCAGTGATTATCCCCTTTTTAGTAAGGCGCGTCTCCTGTGTCTCCATTTCACATCACGGTGAGAGAGAGAGAGCACAGAGAGTAGTTGATAGACAGACAGACCGAGAGAGAGAGAGAGGGACAACCCTGCCGTTGGATATATGTTTGTATCTACGAGAGACCCCGCGCTGGACCAACACAAGGGCTAGATTGAGGCCCGGCAGGCGTTATCGGGAATGCGCAACCATAACAGATGCCGGCATTTGGGGGCTTGGCGTCCGATCCAGGCACAGACCCACGCCGTGCCAATTAGGATCCATGCCGCTCCCTTTTTCCCTTGTGTAAAATCCTGGTCAGTGTATGTCCTCGGTCAGGGCCAGTACTACTACTACTACTACTACCACTACTACTATTCCAACTACTTCGATTAATACTGTTGCTAGAAGTAGTAGTAGCAGTAGTAGTAGCAGCAGCAATAGTAGCAGTAGTAGTAGTAGTGGCAGCAGCAGCAGCAATAGTAGCAGTAGTAGTAGCAATAGTAGCAGTAGCAGTAGTAAACATTCGCTAGTACTGATGTCATTGCTGTTATCATTTCTACCGTTACAACTACTACTACTACTTCAACCAGTTACACTGTGTCTAAGACAACTACTAGGCTTCGGTGCTAATGATTTTAGAGCTGTCAGTAAAATATAAGCAGTGATTATCCCCTTTTTAGTAAGGCGCGTCTCCTGTGTCTCTATTTCACATCACGGTGAGAGAGACCACAGAGAGTAGTTGATAGACAGACAGACCGAGAGAGAGTGGGACAACCCTGTCGTTGGATATATGTTTGTATCTACGAGAGACCACGCGCTGGACCAACACAAGGGCTAGATTGAGGCCCGGCAGGCGTTATCGGGAATGCGCAACCATAACAGATGCCGGCATTTTGGGGCTTGGCGTCTGACCCAGGCACAGACTTACGCCGCGCTGATTAGGATCCATGCCGCTCCCTTTTTCCCTTGTATAAAATCCTGGTCAGTGTATGTCCTCGGTCAGGGCCAGTACTACTACTATTACCACTACTTCTATTCCAACTACTTCGGTTAATACTGTTGCTAGTAGTAGTAGTAGTAGTAGTAGTAGTAGTAGTAGTAGTAGTAGTAGTAGTAGTAGTAGTAGTAGTAGTAGTAGTAGCAGTAGTAGTAGCAGCAGCAGCAGCAATAGTAGCAGTAGTAGTAGCAATAGTAGCAGTAGCAGTAGTAAACACTCGCTAGTACTGATGTCATCGCTGTTATCATTTCTACCGTTACTACTACTACTACTACTACTACCACTACTACTACTACTACTACTACTACTACTACTACTACTACAACCAGTTACACTGCGTCTAAGACAACTACTAGGCTTCGGTGCCAATGATTTTAGAGCTGTCAGTAAAATATAAGCAGTGATTATCCCCTTTTTAGTAAGGCGCGTCTCCTGTGTCTCCATTTCACATCACGGTGAGAGAGAGAGAGACCACAGAGAGTAGTTGATAGACAGACAGACCGAGAGAGAGGGACAACCCTGCCGTTGGATATATGTTTGTATCTACGAGAGACCACGCGCTGGACCAACACAAGGGCTAGATTGAGGCCCGGCAGGCGTTATCGGGAATGCGCAACCATAACAGATGCCGGCATTTGGGGGCTTGGCGTCTGACCCAGGCACAGACCCACGCCGTGCCAATTAGGATCCATGCCGACCCTCCTTTTTTCCTTGTACAAAATCCTGGTCAGTGTATGTCCCCGGCCCGGGGGTGTGGTAGCACTTGAAGAAGGGATACGATCGCTGGGACAAGAAATTTATTAGCCTCATAAAGGCCTCCAGTCTTATTCACTCTGTCTTGACACCGGGCGCAAGTGAGAGGGGGGGGGGGAGGCAGTGCAGTAGATGCTGCGCAAGTCATCGTCCGTGCCCATACCCTGCTGTAGAGCGCACAGTCGTGACCTCGTCGGTCATGACCGTCAAGTTGTCGTATCTGACCCTCCTCTTCACGTAGGGGAAACGACTCATTGAGGCGGAGACCTGGCTTAAACCCTAGGCGCAGCGAATATGACCATTATTTCCGTGCTAACTGATGAAACCATCCCGAAAAAATGGAGAACCAACAATCCACGTCATCAGTTCGGCTTGGTTTCGAATGGCCGAGGGATGGTTAAAACTCACGGTGGATATCACTACAGACGACATTCAACGGCAATTCACTGACTGCGTGTACATTTGTCTGTTGTGATGGGTATTTCTAGACGAAAATGCGAGGAAGTTAAGAGTACTCTCCTTTAACGTATCGACAGTAGAGGGGAAATAAAGACCACATGTCCGGTGGACCTTTTCATGTATTAGTGTTGGAACGCAAGGAGAAAAACAGGAAATTGGCAGAATTCGAGTTAAAATATGTGCGTCGTTTTATTGTCAATTATTTGGCACAGAATCTGATTTTAGGTCGGTGAGGATCTCAAGTTTACTACTGCTACTGCTACTACTACTACTACTCCCACTACTTCTATTAGTACTGTTGCTAGTAGTAGTAGTAGTAGTAGTAGTAGTAGTAGTAGAAGTAGTAGTAGTAGTAGTAGTAGTAATAGTAGTAGTAGTAGTAGTAGTAGTAGTAGTAGTAGTAGTAGTAGTAGTAGTAGTAGTAGTAGTAGTAGTAGTAGTAGTAGTAGTAGTAGTAGTAGTAGTAGTAGTAGTAGTAGTAGTAATAGTAGTAGTAGTAGCAGCAGCAGCAGCAGCAGCAATAGTAGCAGTAGTAGTAGCAATAGTAGCAGTAGCAGTAGTAAACACTCGCTAGTAGTGATGTCATTACTTTTATAATTTCTACTGTTACTACTACTACTGCTGCTACTACTACTACTACTACTACTACTACTACTACTACTACAACCAGTTACACTGCGTCTAAGACAACTACTAGGTTTCGGTGCCAATGATTTTAGAGCTGTCAGTAAAATATAAGCAGTGCTTATCCCCTTTTGAGTAAGGCGCGTCTCCTGTGTCGTAGAAGGTAAATGACAGAAAGCCAACCGAAAAGGGTGCAGCTTCTCAAATGAACATTAATGCTTCAGCACACCTTCTGAGGTTGAGATACTGGCGATTCTGGCGTGGCTCTTCTTCAGATCAACTGCATGACAAAACTGTGTGCCGATGAGCGAAAAGCGACAAAAATGTCGCCCCATGTCTACCGTAATTCGCATGCGCTAAATAACGCCTCTGCCTACTTCAGTTCATCTTTGACACCTTGATTGCCAGATTTTTAAGCAAGGCCACCCAGTCGATAGGCAGTGCGAAGTTTGGTTCTTCTGGCTCACTCTCCCTGGAGAGGAAAGTGGGGAATTTGAGTAGTAATTCAAGTGTTTAGTACAATACAAAAGTTAAGAAATCTTGCTAACGGGGAGGGTTCTGGTGATAGACAATTCAGAAGGTGTATTCCGAGTCCCCTTCTTTTGAATGAGCATAATCGATTGCCCGGAGACCATTTTGTGTGTGGCACAGGCAGACGAGCTGTTCAACTTTGTCAGTCGATCCCGACCCCCCGATTCTGTCTTATTACGGGGTCCGTGAGTGTGAGGGTGTGACAGATTCTGCGCAAGTCACCATCCTTGCGTCCTCCAGGCTGGGGGCTTCACTGTGACCATCGTCGTTTATGACGATCAAACTCTCACATTGGACGATGGCAGTTCTTGAGGGGGGGTGGGGAGGGAGGGGGAAAGCAGTCTGAGTCTTCCTGAAGATGGCTATTTACTTCAAATTCTCATCTGTATCACGACTAATTTATTCACACTATCACAGCGGGACCGCACCCTACCGCCTGATGTAGCAATCGACGCTTGCAATGGTAGAGGAGCGCTCAACAGAAGTCACTCGTCTCGTTGTGCCTTCGGTCTCTCTCTCTCGAGCCCCGCCTGCAGTAATATAGGCAGAATGTCATTACCGACAAGGACAAGGGAGATTGGAATGGCTATTTCTGACTTATTAGCCGTCGTCAACCATTCATATCCAGTCCTGAGGTGTGTAATCCTCATTACACACCAGATGTTACACACCTCGGGACTGGGTATGGTTCGCTGACGAGGACTAATAAGTCAGAAATGGCCATTCAAGTCTCCCTTGGCTTTGTCGGTAATGTCACTCTGAGGCTGGCAATGTTGCCTAAACGGTTTGAAAAACCGACAGGGCTCACTACTACTACTACTACTTGTCTGCGAATTTGAAAACACTGTCTATGCAGAAACGCCCGAGACTTCTTGCCTGCCTCTGTTTTTCTTGTAGCCTTACACCCCCCCCCCCTCTTGCCATTTCTGTCTCTTCAGCCAATTGAAAGTATTCCTCCACCGGACATTGCAGTACCGGAGCATAAATCGACGCCGTCCTCTGCTGCTGAATCAGTCAGTCTAGGCAAGCAGGACAAGGACACCACGAAACCCTCAAAGTCGCCTCGGGTGAGCTGTGAACTGTTGAAGTAGGCTTGTTTTCAGCCTTCCACGTTTGCAACGCCTACACACGGCTCACTTAGGATTCCTCATGCTGGGTTCCGTACTCTGTGCCACCACTGTCGTCAGCGGACTTTCAGTTGGGCAGGGGAGTAGATACCCCCCCCCCCCCAGGGATGAGTACAGGTGGTCTTGCTAGATTCCCACGTCCTCACCTGGCATTTGATGGAAGACCACCTGTAGTATCGGGGACACCTATTCCTCTGTCCCTCCAGGCCTTCTTCGACTCGCGGGAGGATAAATTCGCCATCAGATGCGGTCGGTGATCGATCACTTGAAGTGTCTACCGAAATCCTGCAAGGAATTTTATACTAGAAAGGATTACTCTAATGCGGTTGTCATCCTGCTCATCATATGGCATAATCCCAAGATATTTTCTGGTCATGTCAGGATGTTGGTCTTTGAATGCACCTCTTCACGGCCGTCTGCAAAACCCGCACTCGATAAAGAAATGATTATTTAATTAGGGTGAAAATTTTATACTGATTATGGAAACCCTTGCGTATTTAAATATATCTTGCAGGAAACAAGCACAGGAATTGCAGGTTGCTGATTAATTGTCAGTTTTGAATAAATCGGTATAGGCAGTATGTTATTACCGGCAAGGACAAGGGAGACTGGAATGGCCATTTCTGGCTAATCAACCGTCGTTAGCCAGTCATACCCGCCCCGAAGTGTTGAACACCCGAGGCTCGAATTCACGACCTGTTAGTTAGAAGTCTACACCTCTAACAACTGGGCCACGAGCCCGTTGATCTGTCGGTTTTGATCGGTGAGCGTCCCCTGCCATTGTATATTCCCTATCGGAAAACCGACAGGGCAACGGGCTCGTGACCCAGTGGTTGGAGGCGTGGACTTCTAACTAACAGGTCGCGAGTTCGAGCCTCGGGGGTTGTGCCACACTTGGGGGTTGGGTATGACTGGCTGACGACGGCTAATAAGCCAGAAATGGCCATTCCAGTCTTCCTTGTCTTTGTCGATGATGCCATTCTGCCTATATAATGCGCCGCTGTGCGGCTGCTGGTTGGGCTCGAGAGAGAAACCGTAAGGCACAACCGAACGAGTGAGTTCCGTAAGAACGATCGATGCGCGCCGCTACCAGTCTATTTGAGGCTTATAGGCTCAGCCTGAAATTATATGTGAATATTTGGGCCGAAATCCATCAACCACAGCGAAAAACTGCATAATACGCACCGCACTATCAATGGGCAGTCAGAAGTATGTACATGGGCAACACAATATGTCATAATCGACAGCACAGGTACTGGCTAAAAGCCCAGACACGTGTTTGGCCGATATTCTATCGCTGCATGACAGATTACTGATGAACGTCGGTTCAAATATTCATTTTTACTGAATGCGGTATTTTCAGGCGCAGCGAAGAATTGCCTTCGAAAGTTGACATCCTGGCATGACTGAAACCTCTGGGGATTATATTGGATGCAACACTGCAGTAATACTTCCTTATCTGGAATGCATTTCGGGATTTCGGTCAATATTTAATGGGATCGGTCACTGGGTGTATTTTTGAATAGTGAGATTTTTTTCCATAACGGATCATATAACAGTACCTGAAAGACGGCCATTTGCCGAAACGTTTTGGTAGGAGGGGCCTATGTCCGCTGCGAACTATCGAAACACTGATGTTCCCCCCAGCAACAGTGCCGCTGGTGACGTTGGTTATGATCATCATCGTCGTCGTCTGGACAGCACTTGTTGTGGCACATCGTTTGATGTACTAGCATATTAACCTGAAGTTGATAATGCCTGGTAGAACAGTGTTTTCGTTCATCCCTACTTGAACGACTGCGCAGTCTATATGCGGCTGTAAGGATGTTTTTCAGCTGCCGGTTGAAATTTTATTCTTTAAAATTTTCTACTGTATGGCAGCAGAAGCGGTATCCAAGGGTCCCGTGGGTTGTAATGCTTATTCGCAGTTTCTTCGACAGTCAGATTTTGCAGCTAGGATTGAATAGATAAGCCCATTCAGTAAATAGAGCACATGGTCTCCTGTGATGCGGGAAGAATATTAGTATTAGTTTTATCAGTAGGGAAAATGGGCGCGAAAATTAACGAAATCTACAGAAAGCCTTCAGAAAATTTGTATTTCCATCATATGTTTGTTTTATTGCTTCAACGAGGTGTCGGGGCAGACCGCGAATCACGAGCCTGCAAACGGGCGGAAAACAAGTGATCTAAGAAGACTGGATTGGGTAAGACGGAATACGGCGGGCAGACTTTACCCAAGCTTTAAACCTAATCTTCAACCTAATTTTAACCCTAACCCTAGCTTTAATTATTCCTCTATGCTTAGCCACAACCTTGACTTGAGTGTAAAGAGCTCGCTTAAATAAAATAAGCACATATGTTATGTTAGTAAAAACTTGCGGTTGCATATTTCTTTATTTCCGAATTTGTACTTTAAACGAAAGTTTACAGTGCAAAAAGGGCTGGAACAGCAATCGACTAAGTGTTATTTGCAGTTAGCTATAAGCTATGTTATCAGCTTGCGCTCTGATTTGGTTTACTCCACCCCTCCTCACTTGCGTGGATCGCCTATTTTGGGACTAAACTCTAATTGCAGCAAAACTGGCGTTAAGGCTTTCGACAGTCTGCATCGCACTGCTGAAGCAACTGCAGGCATCTCTTGCCGAGACTAAATATGACAGGCTTAACCTTCGGTCCCGACTACCTGGAGATTTTGAGTCAATCTGATTGGCCACTATGATAATCCCTCAAGTTTATGATTTCCCCAACCATCCTCCGTATCCCCTCCTGCAATCAAAATCCGTCGATAAACTTAATCCCAATGTGACACTACATATTACCGATCGCAGCCGATGGGGTGTGGGTCTGGTGGCTCAAACGACGGGAATGTTCCATTCGGATGTTAGGCAACCCTCTGCGCCTCTGAGGATCCAAGATAGGACTGGTGACCTCCTTTTCCACCCATTAATTAGGATGACCTCAAGCTGCCCTTGAAGCAGCCTGGTGGTACATCTGGAGTGGCGATCTGGTCACGTGTGTGATAGACGCTGCTGGGATGCTCTGTTTTGCCAATAGAAGCAAAGAGACGAGTCCCAGTAAGCAGTCTTGAAGAAGGCGACACGATCGCTGGGAAAAGAGCTTTAATAGCCTGACGTTTCGGTTTCCTGCTCGAACCCATCATCAGAGACAGGAAAGTAGATACGGGTGGTTCATGCACAAGGGGCTGTAGTATTTATAGGATGCAGTAGCCATGCTACCGCATGCCTATGAATGTTCACGGCTCCCCCCTTCATCGGGGATTGTTGCACGTGGTGTGATGACCGACATTCGCGTCGTTAATTGCTTTAATTTCATCACGTGCGTTGGAGGTTGGTGTGATGATTGCTCTGTCATCTGATCCACCGACCCTGGCGTTGGGAAAAGTGTTCGTCTGTGCGCTGCCCGAGTGGCCAATTACTCCGCATAGGCAAAGTCTCAGCACCGAGTACGGAATGGGAAGATCATTGCACTTGTTAATGAACTGAGGGCCAGTAAACCATGACTCAAGCAGCTCCCGGCTCACGCGGTTGTCACCTCTTGCGAGAATTTCCGCCTCGTCGAATTTGAATGTGTGACCAGATCTCGTCGAATGAGCCGCAACTTGAGAGCTGGCGTCATTTCTCCGCACCGCTGCAGCGTGTTCGGCCATTCTCGTTCGAAGCTGTCTTCCGGTTTCTCCGACGTAGTTGCTTTGTCCGCAACTGCACCAGATCCGATAAACGACTCCAGACGTTTCTTGCCGTTTCTTTCATGAACCACCCGTATCTGCTTTGTCTCTGATGATGGGTTCGAGCAGGAATCCGAAACGTCAGGCTAATAAAGCTCTTGTCCCAGCGATCGTGCCGCCTTCTTCAGTTCTCTCTTTTGTCAACCGCTACGCCCGCGCCCACCTCCGGCCACGTAGACCTTATCTTTCCATCGAAGTAAGGTGAGCGAAGCATCAGATGTGGTTATGTAACCTCACCTAGAGTAAACAAACCCCAGCCACCCGTAATATGAGACCGGGGGTAATAGGGGTTTTTACAGGTGGGGCGGGAAAACGCACAGGCGACGAGGTCAAGTAGTTGTATCCAAAAGAAAAGCTGTTGGGAATGCGCGGCTATACTTTGAGTGGTTGAGAAATACTTGCCCTAACCCCTAGCTCTAACCCTGACGCCTTATCCTCACCCCTAGCCTCAACCCCAACAGTATTGTGTCCATCAGGTGGGGCCACATAACCACATCTTACCGAGCGAAGGAAGATTTTGGTAGGCACTTTGAGTGGTTGAGACATACCTGCCCTAACCACTACCCCTACCTCTAACCCTAACGCCCAACACTGAGGTCAAAAAACCCTAGTCGCCTATAATACGGGACTGGTGGTAATAGGAATTTTTACAGGTGGGGCCGGGGAACGAACAGGCGACGAGGTCAAGCAGTTGAATGCAGAAGAAAAGCTGTTGGGAAGGTGCGGTTGTACTTTGAGTGGTTGACAGATAGTTGTCTTAACCCTAACCCCTAACCATAATCCCTAGCCCTAACCCTAACCCTAACCCCAACAGTATCGTGTCCATCAGGTGGGACTACCAAACCACATCTTGCCAAAATTTCGTACAGGATAGGTTGCGGAATAGCTGGGACGAATCCAGGTCGCTGAGGATGCGATAGACTGAATGAATGAATTCTTATAAGTTAGTCTACCGATTTCTAGTGAAATTTAAAGGCTGAAAGAGGTAAATAGGTCGCGACGACATTTCATCCACAACACCTGGGAGGCTAACATGATTTCGCTAGGCGACGAAAGTCGCTGCCACCCAAGTTTCAACAGAGGAATGCGTGTGCAATCGTGTTCCAGTTACTTTGAGGAAATATTTGGTCGGATGTGGTTTGGTAGCCCCACCTGAAGTAAGCAAACCCCAGTCGCCTCTAATACGGAACCGGTGGTAATAGGGTTTTTTACAGGTGGAGCCGGGAAACGCACAGGCAGCGAGGTCAAGTACTTGTATGCGAAAGAAGAGCTATTGGGAATGCGCGGCTGCGCTTTGATTGGTTGAGAAATAGTTGTCTCAACTCCTAACCATAACCCCAACCCCAACAGTATTGTGTCCATCAGGTACGGCTACATAACCACATCTTACCGAGCGGAGGAAGAGTGTGGTAGGTGCTTGTGCGATTAGAGTAAAGTGAACGAAGAATAAGACTGCGGTAGCTACTACTACCAATGCTGTGCCCGCTCCCTGCGGCACGCTATTCACGCCGCCACCAGCAACTATCGAACTCTCGTGTGTGCATGTAGCACTTTTTAACTTCTACCCGTTTCACTTGTTACCCCTCTCTTCCACTCCCGCCGCCCCCACGCCCAGGTAAAGGCTACAGGAAGTTCGGAGACCCTGCCCCGGTCGATGGGCAGCCGCCCACGTGAGGAGGTGGAGAGCCAGCAGCCGGGATCCTCTGCAACTCTGCCCTCCGGTAGCAGTAGTGGCAGCGGCGGCGGCGCTGTAACCGGACGCAGATCGGCCCTCAAGGGCGGCGACAGGCCTGGTGGCGGCCCCAAAGTCAGCAAACAGTAAGTAGCCCCCTGCGCCGCTTAAGCCTGCATTTGCCAACTGTAGAGAGGCCAGTCACCCCCCACCCCCCTCCATCACCTGTCCCCTGCCTCCTCCTCCCCCCAGCATCCGGTTCACGGCGCTCAGCCTGGTTGCTTGCACCTGTCTCCTCACCGTCGCGATGGCCTCTACTCCCGTCTTCACCCCCGCCCGGGATTCACCCTTCTCCAGCGGCATGGGTGCCCGCGGCGACATCTCGTGGCCTGTGCGGGCCAAAAATATAATCAAATTTCGAGCTGAAAACGCCAGTTCCCTGGCGTCTGCACGACCGACTGGAGCACCGCCGCTCTGGCTGCATATCACTGTCTGGCTGCCGAGAGGCTTCTTCCCCGGCGAGCAGCAGCAGCAGCCAGATATGGCAGGCAGCTCTGCTTCCGCCACCGGGCGTCCCGCTGCCCACCACAAAGCCGGCAGGGCTGGCGGCGGCGGTGGCGACTGGAACTTCTCTGTCTACCACCGAGCTGCGCCCAAGTCCATCCAGCTCTGGCTGAACAAAACCAGCCGGACTGAAGTGCATCTGGGGCCGGATATACCGCGGTCAGCTGTGGAGATATTCGGTGAGTCTGATGCCCGCGTTGAGCACGGGGGGAGGGGGTCTTGGGCGCGCATTTCAACCCTAGGCTTGCCTACAGGTACATGCAGTGTGGACCGTTCTACTAAGTGCCACATTGGAAAATAACGTGGCCTGCGACCGACGAAGCCGGAGGGCGATTTGTAATGCTTCTTTGCGATCAGACTCTGCTCTCATCTGAGCAAGCTGTCTTTTTACTTCGGGACAGTGATCATCCTGTTTTATTAAGGGAAAGGTAGGCGAACGCCTTATAACTCCCTATTTGGTTGCAATAACGTCACAAAATTTGGGAAGAAGTACAGGCTTTCAAGCCTGGGCTGGACCACTTATCCCAAGTCGCCATGCATACTCTTGAAACTGGGCACATATTCGCTTGGGATAAAACACGCATTGTCGGTACCTGCCCACATAAGAAAGGCCGATAATTCCCAGAGGCCATTCACTTTGATGATTCATGCATCAATCGATGCATTGATCTTGACGCCATGTACACAAATCTCAAAGAAAAATGGAAAAGGTGATAGCCAATCAAGACGTGACATCAGCCCACAGCACTGACCCATCCTCAGCCCTGACAAAGCAATATCTATTTTTTGGGCAGGTTTGAATTTTGCCTCTTTCTTCACATTTACTACATTTCTGACGATGAGCTGGGGAACCAGACTCGGAAATCTACGAAATAAAATTTGTTCATTTTCCCAAAAGACTCCATTTTCTTCGGCATATATATGTATATATTGCTAATAGAAGCGAAGATGCGCGTCCCCGGACATAAATGAAAAGAAAAGACGATCTCGGGAACCATTGTTTTACCGTCCTGACGTTTCAAAAGCAAACAAGCTTCCATCGTTGGAGGTGAGTGCGGTATCGCACCTCAGAGCATTTATAGGTGGGTGACAGTCATGTCAAGACCGTTCTTTTACCTATGAAGTCAGGGCGGCAGGGAGGAAGGGGCGGGGAGGGAGTCCCAGAGCGTTTTTTCGCCGGATGAGGGAGTGATGGATCAGCTCTCGTGGTCACCAGCCGCATGCACACAGGGACTTTGGCGAACGGGGAGCAGAGAGGGAGGGTGACGGAACGTACTCAATATATATATATATATGTATTTAGAAAGGTGAAGTTCTTTGGGATGCCTGTTTTTCAATATATATATATATATATAGATGAGATGATACCGACAAAGACAAGGGAGACCGGAATGGCCATTTCTGGCTTATTAGCCGTCATCAGCCAGTCATACCCAACCCCAAGTGTGGATCACTTAAGATTCGAACCCGGGATCTTTGGTCATGGCTGATGACGGCTAATAAGCCAGAAATTGCCATTCCGGTCTCCCTTGTCTTTGTCGGTATCATCTCATCTATGTCTACTACTAGTCGCTGTGCGACTGCCTGCGAGGGTTTAAGTATGAGCCCCAAGGCACAACGGAACGAGCATGTTCCGTAACCTGATCGGCGAGCGCCCACTGTCATAATATATATATATATATATATATATATATATATATATATAGGCAGAATGATATTACCGACAAAGACAAGGGAGACTGTAATGGCCATTTCTGGCTTATTAGCCGTCGTCAGCCAGCCATACCCAAGCCCGAAGTGTGGAACACCCGAGCCTCGAACTCGCGACCTGTTGGTTTAGAAGTCCACGCCACTTCCCACCGGGCCACGAGCCCGTTGCCCTGTCGGTTTTTGATCGGGAATATGCAATGGTAGGGGGCGCTCACCGATCGTGGAAAGGCTGATCGTCTATCGGGTTACGTAACATGGTTGTCACATTGTTACTTGAACCTCAGTCTAGAGCCTTTACAGGCAATCCCATAGTGACCAGCAATCATGCAGGATTGTCACCGAAGACAAGGGGGACTAGGGGGCATTTCTGACATATTAGTCGTCCTCAGCCGGCGATGACAAACTCTGATTTCGGATTCTAACCTGGACTCCCTGCCCACTTTCCGTTAAGTCTGACGCCCCACCATTGGACCAGGGATCCGTTGTCCTTTCGCCAACAGTCAAAAGTACTGGTTATGGAATATTCATTGCGTATGTATGCAGATGCAAAAATAGCCTGGCACCAATTCGCAATCGTGCCATACCTGTATATACCGGTGGTGTCCACAAACAGACGATAACCTACCGGCCTATATGGCGAACAAGCTGTTAATGACAGCCTGTTGGTGGGATAAACAAGAATAGGCAAAAGCGGCCTCTGGTTTATCCTGCCCGCATTCACACTCGGAGAGGTAGTCTCAGTTTCCCCCAACTACCCTACCCTCCCCCCGCCCCGACCCAAAGTTCTTCAAGCGTCCTTGCGGTTATCACGTTTGTTTAGTGTGACTCCTCTCCCTCTTTTAGTTCTGACGGTCTTTCATCAGCTTCGGACGTCTGGTGTTTACATTCACAAATGTCGCACCTCAATCGACACGGTTTCCGTTCCACTGGTTCAGATAAACAAATCCATCTTGGTGCGCCGGCATGAATGTGTCAACAGGATTAGATGCTAATTCAGGGCACGCTTAGTGCCTGCCCTATCACCCTGGACGCTACCCCTCTCTGTTCTGGTGGCTAGCGTAAACCTCCTCCTGGGCCTGATCGCTGGTGATGATACTGATGCTCTGCGTCCTAGTGACCGATGTCCTACCGTCAAATTTATGTTTATCGCCCGGGGGGGCCTTAGCTTCATGCATGCCGGCGTTATTCTAATCCACTTTTCAAGTACATGTGTCCTGTTGACAACAGTATGTCCAGTATGGCGTGATTTTGCGCCTAACCTAATTTCAGAAGCGCACGTTTGCTTGCTTAGATGCGTAAACGACAGATCCGGCCTGCATGTTTTTCATCTGTTTGATCATATACTGTAAACGACTGGTTGGGGGGAGGGAGCTGGAGCGGTCAACTGGAGTTGGTTTGACTCTGACAACTGGGCTCCTTCCGGCCACAGACTGAGGGGGAAGGCGGACCTGCGGGTTCATGCTCTGAGCACGATTCTCAGCGAGGGTTCCACGCGACTCTTCAGGTCCTGGGCTTGGACTGTGTCAGGATAGGGATGGTCAATATGTAAGAAATGGTCATCTAATTCTGTCTCGTCTACGAACCTTTAGTTGCTATGGGGCCGCCTGCTCGAACTTCACAGGCCTGGGATGCACGACTGATTGATGTGGGAAACAGAGTCGGTCTAAGTATGTCTCCCCTCGTCCTTCATAAGTCAGTTGCAATTCCATATCCTTGTTGAGCGGCCGATTACGGTCGATCTTTAGAACTCGCTAGTATGCATGCATGCGTCATCTCTCTCGGCAGTTTCAACAACCTCGATCGTTACAAGCTACGTCGTAGTCCGCGTGTCCAACGCAGTGGGTGCGGCACCGGTGACCTGCGCGTGAAGCAGGCTTGCGAAGCGTCTATCGCACACTCCCTTCTCATTCACCTTGCTCCGATGACAAGACGTTGACTGGACGACCAGAGGCATGCTCGCAAGCCTCTGCACACAGGGAAACAGGGGCGTCAGTGAGAGTCTAGCGTCGCACACCGATGTGAGTTACTTATTAGCCACGCTAGGCTTGAGCCGCTGCAGCCTGGGTCGTCTGATCCCTTTCAGTTAACAGCGGTAACAATCGGGAGAGGGCACCCAAATGTCCGTTGCCTAGAAATAATACCTGCTATACCTATTTGAGTAGGTTATGGCCCTACATATTTTTTGTTTCATTCGACCTCAATTTTATCTGATCTGCAGTGAACATGTTGCCTCACTTAGATTACCATAGTCTCCAACAGTTGAGATGTGACCGCTGCAGACCGAGCCATGGTTAATCAACCTTGACCTGGGCTTGCACGGCTGAAGAGTGACAGCAGTAGTGTGTTTGCGGCTAAATCTACCCTTGAATACCTTAGGAGAGTTGAGAAACGATCGCTGTAGACCGACCATTGGTTTGCCATCCTTCACATATGCTTGCTTAGGTCAGGAGTGACGACATTAGTCCGTTTGCTGCTTACTTTAGAACATCATAGCCTAGGAAAGTTGGGTAATGATCGCTTTAGACAAATCCCATGTTTACGTACCTTAACATTAGCTTCCACAGCTGAAGAGCAAGCGCAGTATTCAATATGCGGCTTAATCTACGGTAGCATACGTTCATACACTGGCGATACGATCGTTGTGGACCGACCCTTTGGCTTATCCATTATGGCCATTTCTTCCTTAGGTGAGGAATGACCGTAGTTGTAGGTATGCCACTCAATCTATGGCACCATACCCTTTGGACACTTGCAAAACGATCGCCGTAGACCCACCCTACGTTAACCAACCTTAATATGAGCTACCACTACTGGCAAGCGACCGCAGTAGTCCCTATGCGGATTATTATATAGTAACCTACCTACGGACAATTGCAATACGATCGCCGTTGACCGAGCACTTAGATTATCAGTTTTTACCATTACTTCCAGAGGTCAGGAGCTACCGCAGTCACCAGTGTGCGGCTCAGTCAATGGCTGCATAGCTTAGGACAGTTGCGATTAGATCGCTGCTTTGGTCGGCAGTATTCTTTTGGGTGTCCTCTCGCGATTGTTACCGTTAACAGCTCCCTATACCAGAACTTTTTGTGCGTGGAAAGTACATCATACTTGCCGTAGTGTGCTTAGCCAGAGTGGGGAACGTTATCTCAGGGTTTGCCGACAGTTCTCCATTCCGTTCCAGGTCTTTGTCATGCCATTTGTAGACAGTCAGACCTGAGGCATTGACTGATGTGGCTTAAGGGCCCTGCTTAGCACATGTTTAAGTCATACACAGTAACTCAACTGCTCTTGAAGGTTGTCGAATTAGGCCCAATGATACCCCCATGAGGTTATGTTGACCCCGTTGTGATAGCCGATGAAATTTTACTGTTTCCTTCGGAACGGACCGCCGGTTTGATATTTCATTCTTAGAATGTTCCATGTTATAAAGAGAATTTGGTATTGTTTCGACAGATTTGAGCAGTCAACAGGAATCCGGAATTGTGTAAACCTCTGCGGTGTTGACGGAATTTCAAACGACAAGAGACGTTACAAGGCCTAATTGATGCCAGCACCAGCAATGGAATCTGAACCGGTGGCCTTGAGTTCTTCACTTTTCTGCGAAAATTCCCATTTTACAATTAGAGAGTCAATTGGCAAACATATGTTTTCAGTAATTCATCATCAGGCCAGTAAATTTATATGGGAAATGGTCAGTCTAATTGTCGACAGGTTATAAATGGGTCTTGGAAGCAGGGTTAATCTGACTCCACGTTCCCACGCCACCCGCATGACGGAGTCAACGTGCTGAGAACGGTGGAGTTGGGGTGGGAGGGAGGGGGGAAGTAGAGGGGTTCCGGTTAGATTCTAAGCGCTGTGAATGCGCGTGACTGCTCTCCGCGCGTCGGGACGGCGTGCGATCACCGTCTGGTGTCGATCGGGGCAGACATACTGTAGCGGCCGAGGACGTCAAGTGTAGCACACACCAAAGTAAGAGAACGCTGAGAGTAGATCCTGGAGGAAATAAATTCGTACAGTTGGAATGAGTTACAGCCATCAGATAACCTGTCTGGTTGAAGAGGCGATACCGACATGCCAGCTAAATAACCGGTGGGGAGCGCAGCGCTGTGGGCAACTGCAGGGGAGGGCCGAGGGGGGTGCCGATGTGGTGGGACGGAGAGCGATGCGAGCGTTGGGGTACGGTAAGGGGGAAGGGATCGGCGGATGATAGAGGAAAGGACACTGGCCATCTTCACTGACACGCGGTTACGCCATCTCCACCCTAGGTCCTCGCGCGGAAAAGTGTCACACATTCAAACAATTCCGTTCAAGTCCAGGGGCGTTACAATACTGCTTGTGTCAGCGTCTTCTGACAACAGAGTGCTGGGTTCGCCAGTTGAATGGCCACTGCTTCGGCTGTGGCTAGCACCCGTTAGCGCAGGCCTTTAGAGTAGTGTGCCGGTGCCCGGTAGATAACTTTAAAAGCTTCTTTAGAGTCGGCTTGGTGGTTCGTATCGATTAGATGGGCGAGAATTGAACTCGAAGTCGATCGATGTTCACCTCTACCTAGCTAGGCAGGCATGTGTCCGCGTAGCCTCTTTTCCAGACGCCTGGTTGTACGGCCAATATATCCCGCTCCACAGGAGCAGGTGAATGAATAAATACACATGGATGTGGCCTGTAACGGCAGCCGGTCTTTGCCCTCCAACCGTAGTAGGGAGGAATTTGCGAAGAATACGCGCAAATTCGCCGCGGGGAAGGCACTCGCGAGAGCTGTCCTAAGACGTCGTCTCCCTAATTCGCTCGCTGCGTCTCCTACAAAGGGCAGTCTTCGAAATAAGTCTTTCTTCTCCGCAGTTGCAACGGCAGGTTTTGTGGCACGCTCTCTAATTTTCCGGAGGATGAATCGCTCTGGATAGCCGTTTTCGCGGAGCGTGTTTTGCAGCTGTTGGCGTTCTGCTTCAACAGTTTCGGGAGAGCAGATGCGTCGCACTCTAGCCGCCAGTCCCTGGACTAAATTTCGTTTTAGATTTAAGGGAACAAAGCTGTGAAAATTTATGCATTGTCCCGTCCAGGTTTTCTTTCTGAATATCTTGCGTTGGATGGATCCATCTTCTTGTCTGTGTAGAAGGACATCGAGGAACGCGGAACGCTGCAGTTCCTCAATTCCTGTACCAACTGTCTCCAAATGACTTTCTGCATGTCGTCTTAGTGATACGTAGGGTTTGCCAGTAGTATCTCGGATAGTCCCCACTATCAATACATCCTGATATGAATTTCCTCGTCACAGTTGCCTCCGCAAGTCTGGTGTCAAACTTCAGGAATCCATTGAGTTCCTTTAACACCGAGGGGTCTTTGGACCGTCTCCGTTCTGCGAAAGTTCCCATATTACAATTGAAGAGTCAATTGGCGAACATATATTTTCAGTAGTTAATCATCAGGCCAGTACATTTACATGGGAAATTGTCATTTCACTTTTGGGATCCCCTTTATTACGTATTTTGTACAATTCAAAAGGGAATTTGGCGAGCATACGTCTGCTTTCGATAAATTCTCTTCAGGCCTGTACATTTATGTGGCTATTGAAGAAATGAATGCAAAAGATTCGGGCAAATAGATGATTAATCTGTAGCTTGGGTTTGGAGAGGGGAGGGGGAGGGTGAAACACCATAATTCCAGTCGGCGCCAGGGAGAAGGTGGGTCCCGTCGAAGGTAATTACATGCGGGTGGCTGGCTTGGTGGCTTTGAACCACGGTAATTGTGGGGCCTGCACGAAACCCTTCTGCGTGCATAGGACCGATCAGTGTAGCCTAATTGCAGCCGCTCTGCCGTAGCCAACAAGCGCTGCCCAAGCAGTTTTGGATAGGTAGATGGGACCTTGTAGATCACTCTGAAGGCCTCTGTGGCGTCTACACGGTGGCCTGTGTCTACCATGTGCGCGAGGATCGAGCTGTTGATGTTCTTTATTTGTCCCTTTCTTAACCATGCTGGGAGATGTTCTGTTCATTCTTTTGGATAAACGCCGGCTCGTGCGACCAATATATTCTGCCCACAGGAGCAGGTGAAGGAGTAGATACACATAGAGGTAGTCTGAGCTGGTAGTTTGTCCTTACCCTCTCCGTATAGGATTGGACTGGTGGAGAACAATACACGGGTGTCAGATGCTGGAAAGGTCTGTGATACAGCTTGGGTTAGGCGTCTTCTCAGAAGTGTATCTACTCCTTCACCTGCTCCTGTGGAGCCCGTATCTTTTGCATTCATTACTTCAATAGCCATATAAATGTACAGGCCTGAAGAGAATTTATCGAAAGCAGTCGAATGCTCGCCAAATTGCCTTTTGAATTTTACAATGGGAACTGTCACAACTCTAAAACAGTATTTTGTACAGTTACTTAGTCAGCTAAATTAATTAAACCTGCCAAAACAACTAATATATTCAACACGCCCCGGTGGTCAGTAGGGTGAATGCTTGGTTTATCGCTTAGGAAAATGGACCCCGACTGTCAGCCGGCCGTCTTTCAGTCAACGAATTCCCGAAAGATGTTTCTGTAGTGGTATTTTTGCCGAGTCTTATCTTCGGTGGGTTCGTGGCAACATTGGTAACGTTCCAATCACAGGTAAATGAAAACGGCGTCCCATAAATACCCAGGGCCGTGGGCATCAATCAGCCCTTATCCGCGTGGGAATCTGAGGCGTCAGGCGAATTGAATTCGGGCTCCATCTTTCAAACTGCTTGCTGGCAAAGTGGGATTACGTTCCTTATATGGTGCGGCGAGTTCAGAAAACAGAATCAGGATGCTATAATGTACAGATTTCGTCTTTGCCCGGGGTTTCTCACATGAACCTCTTTGCAGAGTGCTGTAGCAGGTACTTACCTAGCCGTGTATTCCGTCTTTAGTTGTTTCCTGTACCTCTAAAGAACCTTCAGTACCTCCGAAACCTGGGCAACCGGCGCATAACCCAAGCCTGACCTCCTGAATGCTTGGCAGTAGGTTTCGCCTGAACACTTAACAGGGTTGAAGTACATCAGTGCGGAGGTTCAGGCAGTTGACCTTTCCATAGGGGATGGACGGCATTTTTTCGTCTACACTCGTTTGTTGTGCCCCGTTGTTAATTTTCACCTGTATTACTGTAAAATGACAACATGGAAACCCCCATTGTTGCCGACTGCGATCAAGATTATCGTGAATCACGTGGAAGCTCTGTTGGCTAACGTTGGCTAATTTCAAAACAGAATGTCGACGTTGTCGATTTCCGGTCAAGAAACCCTCTCCTCCAAGTGGCTAGCATGCAACAGTTGAGAGATACTACCCGGAAGTTAGTCAAGGGAACTAGGCCGCCCACTTTTACCCATTTCTCGTCCAAACTCAGAAAAGATCGAAGCACTTTGGTCGTCATTTCGGTCCTTTCGTAAAGTGCCGTAATTGTCTTTTATCCCAAGCATCGCGTAGATGCGTGATACGTTGTAGGATCCTCCTCTATCCCTGTTGTTGGTTCTTGGTTTGACTCATTGCCGACGGAGGAATCAGAAGATCGCGACAAATTTATTTGAGTCTCTGTGGTGTTCTCCCATCCCTAGGGGTCCATTACTGGTACTGCACCTAAAGTCACTAGTCCTCAGTCAGAACCTACGGTGGATGAAATGTGTGCTGTTTACCCAAGCTAGAACGGTAGCCAGTCATGGTTCTCAGGCCCGCAATCCATCAACAAGCGGAATGACCTCCCGGTACCATATTCCGTGCTGAGATTTTCCCTGGCCAGGGGAATCCGTCAAGTGGGGAGGGCGCGGGCAAGCAATTATCCCAGTGACAGTGAGCCAATTTGCCGAGCAATCGTCACACCAGCATCTAGCACGGATGACGAAATCACGGCCATTAACGACTCGGACTGACAAGCCACCACGGCATCAATTACGACCACAGCGGTGATTGCGAGAGCTGTTAATTGCAGTGCGCATGCGGTCCCACGGCAGCCACGTGCTATAAATACTACACTCCATGTGCCACCATCACCTTTATCTGCGAACGTCTCTGGTGACGGATTCGAGTGAGAATCCGAAACGTCAGGCCAATAACTTTCTTGTTCCAATGATCGCATCTTCGTCTTCTGGTAGCCATTCAATTTACGGTTTGGAGACCTCGGAAGCCTAGGAAACAGACTGGAGTGTTGGTCATGGCCACGAAAAGCGAATGTCCTATGTAAGCCTCCAGGCATTTCACCCTCCGTTTTCGGGAGGGTTTTGTCATGGAGAACGAGTCTCAGAAGACGTTACGTTTGTATAAACGTACGTATTGCGATCGAAAGGCCACCCGGTCCCTTCCCACGATGGTCGTGTTCTTACATCCCCGTCGAAACTCCAGATGGCAAAATTACCTCCGTGCGGTTTTCTTTGCTTCCTGGGCCGTATATGTGGACTATGCACTGCCTCAGTCGGGCAGCATATTTTGTTATAATAATTTTTTATTTAAGACCCGTTGGGGTCCCATCGAAGCAAAAATCTAGTGATGTCTGTCTATTCTTGCGGCGAGAAACGCGTAGCTCGTGAACCCTGCCTCTTTTCACGTTTTATCGATCTAAGCAGTCGGGATGATAAGTCTACAAATAAGTTTTTTCGGATATGCGCTTTTAAACCCGCATTTTCATATTCATGCCTGGATGTGAGTAAAACCCAATATTGTAAACAGGGAAAGCGGCATTTCTTGTCGCGTTAACTGTTGTCTACCTATGAATCTTACCTTTGAAGTAAAGCGCTTTTCCTCTCTTCAAATGGTTTTTTTACGTCTCCTATGCTTGTAGGGCCTCCCACTGACCAGCTATATCCTGAACACGATTATCGTACTGCGGTGAAAAGTCATGTTTGTTGTAGGGGTATATATATAGATGGTGAAAGCTTTTGCAAACAAAACCGAGCGGTGGGGCTGGAAGATTCGTTTCTGTCTTATTTGTCGCTCTAGGTCCGCAGAACTTTAGTCACAGATCATAAAAATCGATCAACAAATGCCTCTTAGATGGGATCGTGTTTGATAGACTACACCCGACTGCTCACTTGCGTCCAGCCGATCCTTCATTTTCATGATCCTGCTACGCATGGTAGCCGCTGGATTATGAGCGATACCCACGCCTAACTCTGACGCAATGCGTTCTGTAGCCTCGGACACATTCTTTATGTACGGTAGGAAGTGCCCTATTTTTGGGGTCTCTCTTCCGTTTGTCCGTTGTGGGTGCGTGCGTATGCAGCGGCTGATGAAACTGTTTGGGTAGCCGTTCTTTGTTAATTGGTCCCTCAGATGCCGTAGTTCTTGCATCCTTCCTTCGGGCTCGTTACAGTGCGTTTTTACCCGGTCGAAAAGCGCCCTCACACAGCCCTGTCTGTGCAACAATGGGTGGTTGCTATGATAGTTGAGGACCTGGGTTGTATTTGTTGCCTTTGTGTACCTGAGTTTATCATCAGATGTGCGCATTATGAACACGCCAGAGAGGAGCAATTTCTCGGCCTCCTTATCTTCTCTTGTAAACTGAATGTCGGGGAAGATGCTGTTAAGCAGGTCTTGAAAACCCGATAACTTGTCCTTTTCAATAATGACGAATGTATCGTCCACGTATTAGCGCTAAAACGCAGGTTTGTAGTGGCTGAAAGCAACCTTTCCCAGCTCTTTTAGGACCAATTCCGAAATTTGGCTGGATATTGGGGAACCCATGGGTGTTCCTTTGATTAGTTCGTATGTTCTGCCATTGAGTTCGAAAGCTAAGACCAATAAATCTGCCGTCCCAGTGATCGTGCCTTCGTCTTCCATAAAAAATGTTCGTTTCGGTCGTAAGGCCCTTGGTAAGTCTCTTGACACTGGGGCCAAACCAGACGGCGTTTTTGATGAAGTTTGATGCGGTCACGAAGACGGACCAATCGCGTAGTGGCACTCGCAGTGGGAGCGAATGCATTCCAGGTCAGCTATTGCCCACTGCCTCTCCCTCCCCCTCCCCCCACTAGGCACCGAATTGCCACAGGTGGGCTAAAGAGTAGTGTTGATGCTGCTTAGTCTCCCTCCTTGATAATTCAATGTACACGCAAGCCATCGTTGCCCCCACCCACCCAGAGGTTGCGTTTTACAAACAGATCATTATGCTTGCTGTGGAAGTCGACTTTTCCACCGCCCTCCCCCCCCACTCATCCCTTTATCGCTTTGTTGACCACCTTCAACAGGTCTCTTTCAATTCATTTGATTCCTAGATGCCACGGATACACGCTGGGTGCAGAGTACTCGAGTCTGTCGTCAACGTTACGCCTGCGAACACTCCTGCGACCCCAGCGCCGGCCATGCATGCATCTGTCAGAGGGGTTACCGACCAGCCGGCCCCGAAGACCGCTCTCGTCTCATTGGCTACGGTATACTGCACCTCTTTTTGCACAAGCTGCACTACCACATTTTTTAAAAAACCCTTAAAGCCCTCTTAAATTTATCGTTGTCCACTAGGAAAGTTACCTTAAAAAGAGATTCACAGCAGCAGTTAAGGCGTAAGTTTTTTTCCGGACAGCATGATGGTGATATGAGGGTAGAAGAAGGCGACCAGTAAATGGCACGGCTGTTTGAAGGAGTGTTCCCTGAATTACCTGCCATCCTACGCCCGTCATGCCACGGTTTGACATTTGAGGTCAGATTATTAGGGAAACGGGTATTGGGGTCGCATGCTCTATCAGTTGATCCACTCACTCGCCTCCTGAAGGTCGCGATCTTGCTGTAGATGGAGGACTGGGGTCCGCCAACCACCGGCGATTCCAGGTATGAGGAGAGATACTTTTTTGGGGGGGGGGGGGAGGCGATACCGCACCAACAAGTAGGTGCCGAAATTCGCTGCCCCTTACAGCAGCAGGTAGCGCAACTTATGGACCAGGCTAGAAGGGATTATCCTGCAGCTTAGTCCCCAGACACTTCTGTTATCCCAGGATGCCAGCTTTTTACTACGCGTCTTTCCGATCGCCTGCGGAAATCGCTCTCATTTGAAAGGACAACTTGTGTAGTAGGATCCTTTTCTCCAAATGTTCAAATTGTCTTTATGAAGTTTAGCATACTATATAGAATTCATGCACAAAATACCCTTTCTAGTTCTCATCCCGTAACTCTAGTCTTCTTCAAACGGTCGTCATCGTTCCTTACCACAGCAGAGCAAGGTTTTACATAGTCCCGGTTTCCCCCCTCCGTATTGCGGCGGCCTCGGTACAGCACAGGAGACACCCAGCCATCGCCCCAAATAGGACCTTAAATGCAGTCATGTGGTCCACCGTATGGCCCCTGTTCACTAGGTGCTTCGTAATTGAAGTCCTCGGTATCGTATTTTCCGCCCTTCGGTATGTGTTCAGCTGACCGAACTGTCAACTGTCTTTGCGTGCGTCTAAGGTATTTGCATCCGCAACTACATGTAAGCTCATAAATGTGGCGTGCATTGGCAGAATGTTTTTGGCTGGTTCAATGCGTAGACGAATCGTTTCCTAAAGAACGTTTTTTTGGAACCGGGTATCCGGAGAAGTTTATCGGTAAGTATCGCCATCCCAGACAGGGAAATCCTACGCCTACGGTTGCTGGTTGGGCCCGAGATAGAGCCCGTAAGGCGCAACACGGAACGAGTGAGTTCCGTAAGAACGATCGGTGAGCTCCCTTCTACCATTGTGTATTTCCGATCGAAAGCGACAGGGCAACGGCCCGTGGCCCGGTGGTTAGAGGCGTTAGACTTCTAACTAGCAGGTCGCGAGTTCAAACCTCACGTGTTCCACACTTCTGTTCCGAAAAGGACGGTGAGCATCAACCTCCCTTTCAAAGGCGATAGTATCAAATGTGATCAAGCGACGACTTCGGTCCACGAGTGAACGGACGTATGCCGCCGGTATTTATGGGTTTACATGTAGTTGCGGCATCGGCAGAATGTCTTCGGCTGGTCTAACTGGAATGGCCGTTGTAGTGTCTATGAACTGCAATTTAGAGGCCCCGTACGTCCGTTCACTCGTGGACCGAAGTCGTCGCTTGATCACATTTGGCACTATCACCTTTGAAAGGGAGGTTGATGCTCACCGTCCTTTTCGGAACAGAAGTGTGGAACACGTGAGGTTTGAACTCGCGACCTGTTAGTTAGAAGTCTAACGCCTCTAACCACTGGGCCACGGGCCCTTTGCCCTGTCGGTTTCGATCGGGAATTTACAATGGTAGAAGGGAGCTCACCGATCGTTCTTACGGAACTCACTCGTTCCGTTGTGCCCTTACGAGCTCTCTCTCTCGAGCCCAACCAACAGCCGCACAGCGGCGCATGATATAAGCGTGGAATTTCCCTGTCTGGGATGGCGATACTTATGGATGAACTTCTTCGGATACCCGTTTCCAAGAAAAGCGTTCTTAGGGAAACGAGTCGTCTACGGATTGGACCAGCCAAAAACATTCTGCCAATGCTCGCCACATTCAACTGTAAGCACGAGTTTACATGTAGTTGCGGATGTAAATACATTGGACGCATGCAAAGGCCACTGGCAGTCCGGTCAGCTGAACACAGGCCGAAGTGGCTGTTAAGGACCGAAGTTCAATTACGGACGGAGTTCAATTACGAAGCACCTAATGGACAGGGGCCATAAGGTAGACCACATGACTGCATTTAAGGTCCTACTTCGGGCGATGGCTGGGCGTCTCCTGCGCTGTGCCCAGGCCGCTGCAATATGAGGTGGAGGGGGGAAAACCGAATTATACAAGCAGCTGGATCACGTCTTCTGTAAATGTTACGCCTGAAAACGAGGTTTTTTCGGTTTTAAAAAACTACTTTAAAATTACCAAATAATTTTAGACTAGGCCTGCCTTTGTGTCTGTGTCGAGGATATTTAAACTACGAGTTGATCGTTTGCAAATTAGGAAAATCCACACATTCATCTAGGCCACTAAGCTGCCATCCGGTACCCATAAAATTTTGCAGTTAGCATAGACCATATTGTTTACTTCGTAAACAGCACTAATAAATGGACAGATATGATTTCAGTTGGACGGACACGTCATGGTATCAGAAATCACATAATTAAAAACGTTTCTTAAGCCAAAAGGGCATCCTTTGGCTCTTATCTGGCCTGCGCCAGGTATGCGCTGTTAATCCTTTTTTAAATCAGTTCTAAATGAACATTCATCTTATGAGAAGACAATATGTATACCAGAGGAAAGTCGGTTCCGGCCCTTTTATTGGTTTCTGACCCGTAGCACCTCGTGAGCCGTCAGCAACTGACATCACCCTAAACATAGCCTAAATTTACCTCTTCCTAGTTGAATGGATAAGGGTAGTGTATGTGACCTCCTGAGTGGTTGGCAAAAAGCCAACCTTCTTTTCTTACGGCTTGCCTGGCAGTAAGTCGCGAAAGGAGTCACGCAGGAAGCAGATTTCAACCTCCTTAAAGTTGCCCATTCTGTGCTCAAGGCTTGGGTCTGGTCAACGGTTAGAATAGGTGTTAGTTGGGTTATTCCAGGAAATAGGGTCTCCAGGCTTGGGCTATGGTTTGGATTTGGCTGTGGTTAGGGTTTCGGGACTTAGATTAAGGTTACAGTTTTCCTTAAATGCTCGCGAGTTAGGGATTTCTCATTGAAGACATCATCATGGTTGGCGCTAAGTTTGTGGTTAACTACGACCTCCCCCAAGGGGGTTACATACCATACCCTTACCGTCGAATGAAAGAACCGGGTTATCCGTCGACCCATTTGACGAGTGTTGTCTTGCTCTACGGGATTACTGATCCTGAGTTCCGCTTTGTGCTGTTGATAGCAGAGCAACACCCGCTATCATCTAACCATCCATAAATGAATTCCAAATGGCCAATCCGCTAAGTTTTTAGACAATACCTCATTCATTCCTGCAGCCGACCGGGTGCGAATGTCAAAAAGAATGTTGTCAGCTGAGAAGAATGAGGCGCGATGGTTCTAATTCGAGTTTTCTCACCAAAGGCCTCGGAGTTACATGTAAACCAATCGCACTCAGGCATTCCAAACGCTCTCCTTCCTCCATATCTAGCGCTGAGACTTTGCTCGAGTGAAGTTATTAACCAAGCGGGAAGTGTGAGAGTGACCACTATTCCTAGTGTCCCTATATGTGAACCAAATGACTGAGCATTTGTCATTTGAGAGGGCGTATATTGGAACAGGGTTTCGTCCATAATCGATCCTTACCATGGTGGTGCCAGGTTTATCACGTGGTCCAACTGCATACAGAGTTCTGGTTTCCTCCTCCGTATTGCAGCGGCCTCTGCAAAGCGCAAGATACGTCCGGTCGTCGCCCGAAACAGGACCTTGAATGCAACCATTGGGTCCACCGTATGAGCCGTGTCCATTAGGTGCTTTGTGATTGAGCTCCTGGGTACCTTATTTTCCGCCTTAAGCAGCCACTTCGGCCGAGCCGCCAACTGGTTTTGCGTGCGCCCAATGTATTTGCATCCACAACTACATGTAAACTCATAAATGCAGTTTGATGTGGCGTGCATAGGCAAAATGTCTTTAGCTGGTCTAACTGGGATAGCCGTTGTGGTGCTTATGAACAACAATTTAGAGGCGGCATATATCCCTTCGATTGTGTACCGAAGTCCTCGCTTGATTACGTTTGACACGTTATCACCCTTGAAGGGGGGGGGGGTAGATAGTCACTGACTTTTTTGGTACAGATATTTCTTCAGGAATTCCTTGTCTGGGATGGCGATATTCATCGATGAATTTCTTCGGATACCCGTTTGCAAGAAAAACGTTCTTTAGGAAAGTTAGCTCGTCTTCGATCGTATCTGAGGAGCAGATTCTGGCGGCTTTGTTGAACAGGCACAAAACCGAGTTCCGTTTTCTCTGAATTGGAACGAAACTGAGGAAGTGCACGTATTGTCCTTTCCAGGTGTGTTTTCGATAGATGGATCTCTGAATAGGGACATCTGTCGTTTGTGTCGACCGTGGTTGCCTCACCGCATTGTCTGCGCTCTGACTGCTCGGTTAGTTATTATTCGTTCGTGACTAACAATCGCCTGGCGACGTAGATGTTGACGAGTGTACGAGTTAAAACCCTGCTATGCACAGTCTGGAACATGGCCGTCAGTGTGTCACAGGTGATTGGCGAGCCGAAAGGTCACAAGTCGGACATTGAGTCCCCTCAATCTGATGTCGCGGGATGCTTTACTCACACATGAGAAGTCGTCCGAGCCTATATGAGGCCTGCTTAATGCCTTGCCTTTTTGTCAGCGCTGATGAGTCCGCGTCAAAGTACGAAACGGCTGGAGATGGTCTTGCCCTTTCTCACTACCGCGCGTTCTGATATGACGGCTCCTGAAGTGTTTGAATGAACCACACCTGAATGCTCCGTATTTTGGCTAACATTAAGGACTTCCTCATCCGCAAACAACGATCACACTCTAAACCCACTTGGTATACAAAGGAAAGGGAACTTGTTTGGTTGGTCTACAGTAAAAGATAAATGACAAGCAGTGGTTCTCAATCCTGTCTGCACAGAGCGCTGTTCGAGCGCACTCAGCAATACTGTTGTTCTGTGGAGGCTTTATAATTACTTTGCGTTTTCCGAAGGGCAAAGTGTGGTCTCGCATGCTAATGGGGTTTCCGCAAATTGTCTGATATCCATGCTCCCTTAGAGCACCTCCATTCATATTGCTACGCAGTCCCCAAACTAGTAAAGTGTTGGCTATGTAGTACACAACCATCAGAATTTATGTGCAAGGTCGTAATGGTCGGTGGATTTTCCTCCACAGTAGATTGAAAGTTTTTACGTCCAAAATATCCGTACGCAATTATGTAGTGATTTTACGGCCCATGATAATTGTCAGTCCCCTCAATCGCAAATAAGCATAAAGCCTATCTCACAAATTTAATAGCATCAATTTTATGAGTATAATTTCGATATTTTGTTTAAGTAAATCAAGTTTTTGCGTGAAGAGACCATAGTTTACTCATAAGATGATAAACCTAATGGCTAAAATATATCTATTTCACAATTATATGGTCAAGTAACGTGTCAGCGTTTCTTCGCATCTGAACTAGGAATGTTACGGCGTGTTTTGGTCTAAGTGATTGTTCCCGCCGACCGATAGTTCGACTATCGTTTCCGACGATGTCCACCGTGTTGTGCTCCATGCCAGGGCGGAAAAAGGGACAATGAATTGCGCGTGAATTGGTTTAAAGTGATGCCAGACTTGCGCAGCATCTACCTCACTCTCTCCTCCAAAGCTATGCCCGGTGTCATGACATGGTCAAGAAGACTGAGGGTGAGAGACGGTGCAGGTGGTTGGCACGGCCGGCCCCGCATCTAGGCGTACCAACACACCCCCTGGTCCACAACGAACACTTGACCAGGATTTTAACCAACAACAAAAGCGTCACAACGGGTCAGAAAGACGACGAAGATGCTTGGGCAGCATGCTCACGACCTGTAAACCCAGCGGGGAGACCTATACACTTTTGCGAAAAGACCTGTGTGAAAAGCAGTATCGTACGAGCTATCAAGCGATATTTGACCCCGAGTTTTCAAAGATTGCAATCTACTGAATCATAAGGAGCTCATTGTTATTCGCTTATCGGAAGCTGCGGCAAGCATCGCCTTTGAAGAAGTACCAGGCGCCGAACGACGAGTACGTCTCACTTGATGTCACGTCAGCTGGGCAGATCTCTGGAGACTGGAAATGTTGCTGTCATGTCTGCGATAGCTCTCCATGTGGAAGTGCCAGTGTGGGGCGTTTTGTGTCACGCAGAATGCTTTGTCGTGCACCCATAAATTTCTGCTCAACAGCTGCGGTTTGTGAATCAATGCAAGGTGGGGTTACACAACCTACCGTTGCCACGTTTTGGTCCAACAAAACAAATGAGGCATATTTCCTACCAGTAGCTTAATGACAACTTCAATTGGGGAGCCGACTGGCCATTTCTGGGTCAGATCCTAGCGAGGTTGCGAACCTATTGGGGCCGTTGTTAAGGTGCGTGCATGGCAATTGGGGGGACCTTCTGAAAATGGCTCCTCTTGGAATGAATCCGAAATTAGACGAGCAAACACTGTGCTGAATTTCTGAATTGAAATGGGGGTCATATACCCTTTTAGATTCAGTCAGTGAGGCCACGATTTGCGTGACCTTCTAACTATAGGGCAGTCACTTCCTCTCAATTCATATTAACTGACTGTATGCCAAACCACTTTTGATACAACGATGTCCGCATTAAAAGTTATCATCTTTTCATCATTTCATCCGAAAAAGCGAATCGATTAGCACGAAATGACTGAAACGTTATTAAAGCAGATAAATTGCCTTATTCTTGTGTCTCAGCGAATGAATACTGGTGTCCAAAACTTGTCACTCTTTACAATTCCACTGAGATTTTGTTTTTGAGACAAAATGTTCTGAATAATGTACATTTTTTTAAAAATTCTCTTAGATCTTTTCGCGACCCTTTTGACTTTGAAAATCCCCTATTTCAGCATTATTTATTTCTGTCACTTATCGTGCAAGTTGGGTTATGCAGGGGACAACTATGGCAGTTGCAGTATCTGCTCGGCGGTTATGTTTAAGTGTCAAACTGACGGTGGTTTCACTTTTAGGTGTTGGTATGGCTGCCACCGGACTGGAGAGCGTGAAGGGTCGAGTCTGCCTCGACGTCGACGAGTGTGAGGATCCTGCTGTTCGCAGTGAATGCACTCGTCGTGGCGGCGTGTGCACAAATCGCCCCGGCGACTTTCGTTGTCTCTGTCCGTCTGGTCACTCATGCCTTCGTGAGTTATTTAAAATACATGCTATTCAGAAGTTTTAAGTAGCTGTTTTTGTTTGTGTCATTTTGTTACCTGCATGGCTTCACGCGCGTTCCATCGTGGCGATCGATATTGTCGACTTCATAGAGCATGTTCTACTACTTTATTTTCCGTCGTTCCACCTGAAAAGTATGCAAAACACCCCTGTGCCGGTCTCTGGAATGTTCTTCATTCCATACCTCGACTTCTTTCAAGTCCTTCCCGTCATCGATGGCCGCCGCTATTCTAGCTCTTTTGCCTGCCCGCTGGGGTTTGCCGATTTGTAAAATGAAACAAGTGTGATTTTCTTATCATATAAAAAACGCTTTGAAGTAGGATATGTTCATCTGCACCGCAGTTTGAAAAAAAACCAATTACTATTCCTTATTATTATTCCTGGGTGGCTCCGTGATCTGTGTCATTGCACGATACGTCCATGATAGGAATTACTGGGTAACTGTGCTCTCTGGCTCCTCCGAAGGACTCTCCTCTGTATTCATGAGGATTTCATTGTTGTCCTCATCCTCCGACTCCTTTTTATTCGCTTCCCTCATTAAAATCTCGGTTTGCACAGGATTTTCATCAAGTTTCTCCGAAATGGCAGTCCTCTCGTCTGGCGTTGAAACTGCAGTAGGCGGTGGTGTCGGCACTTGGTAGTCGCTTGCATTGGCAGCTCTAAACCTTGTGACAATTTCGACATTTTCGCGGCGTTCAAGACCCCCGTGTTTGCCGCGTGTCAGTACCACACGTCGTTCTATTACCCGGTGAGGCGGTTCATACTCCCGGCAGATACTAGGGCATACTCTCGACAGACCACTGGTAGTTCCTTCAAGTTCCTGAAAGCAGGTGACCGGAATCGGCACGATTTCCGACTCCACCGCGTGCCCCGGGGCATCGGGACTCAATGAGGGCCCTGCCGCTTGTCCCGCACAGAAGCCCTCACCACCTCCTTCCTCCTCCCACTTTCTTGCCTCTTCTTTATCCTCCCGCCAGTCTTCATGCTCCTTCTCAACTTCCTCTGTGATCCAATTCAGTTCACCATTTGGGTCTTTACTGGGTCGAGTCTTCGTTTCCAGTCTGTATGTATAAACTTTTGTTAGGAAACTTTCTCCCGGCATTGGCGCATCTTGTTCTATCTCTGCATCCACGCCAAAGGGGCACTGATGGCGGCCGGGCAGGGTAGGCATATCACAGCTCTCAGTTCCGACCGACGGTTCTGTAAAGGGGGGATGATGGCGGTGATGTGCACATTCTGCAGCTGCTCCTAATCCCGGGGGACTGCAAACGTGGCGATGACCTGACATACGTCCAAGTGTGCCGAGAGGATGCTGTTGTGCACATATAGGGGGGGGGGGCAGTGTTTGAGGCGTCACGTGCCGACAGCTGACTGATGACCTTTCTAACGGTGAACAGAGTTCGGGTTGGCCTTTTGTACTCGCCAGTTGAGTGTTCCTGGTGCATTTGTCCTTTACTGCTGCTCTGATGTACGTTTAAGGGGTCACAAGACAGGCCTCAATCGCACTTTTAGTGTGGCTGTCTCATGCAAAGATGAATTGTACTTCACTGCCCACTTGCACTTAGCACCTCCTCTTTTATTTCCTTGGACTGTACCTCTCTACACGCGATTATTTGCGGCAACGTATCAGGAGATCCCGAAGCGTACTCTCCTCTAGCTGACATATTTAAAACTGCCCACTTCTTCAACCTGACAGTCATTAATCTCGAGGGACGCCGTCCCGTGGTCTGAAGTTCAGTTAGATGCTCCCAGCGTTTCTGGATAAGGCGATCGATTTGTCGACTTTTTTGTCGAACACAGATATTATGTTCCCTGAAGTTTCTACTAGAGCACCGGCATTGTTACGGAGATTTCTACTAAATTTCATTTGGTTGAACTGAAGGTTTTCCGCGTTTGTTTGTCTTTGACATTTTGACATTGCTGGATTCCCCCTTCCTCGTACTACAGTGAGTGACCGATTTCATAGAAATCTGAAATTCGCTTTCGCTTAGGAAGGATTACTTAGGTGGTGCTGCAATACTGATTATCACTCAGCATCATCCTGTAGTATTTCGAACTGGCCAGGATGTCTGCTTTTGAATGCATTTCTTTTCGACCTCCTGCAGAAACCACACTCGGCGAAAAATGACTACTGAAGTAGCATGCTTTTTTCACATTGATTTTTGGTTGTCTCATAAATTCAGGTATATTTTATAGAAAGCATGCATAAAAATATGTTTTCTTTTACTCGTTCGGTAGAAAATCAAATTTTCTTCACATTTTATGCCCGAAGAAAGAGTATATTTAGGTCTTGAAAAAGTTTCCCGATTCCCGAGTCATTTTGATCCTGATCAGCCGTTGCATTAGTGTCCAGCGATTTCAGTCTACAAGGTCCATGCTTTCCGCGTAAAAAAATCATATATTCGTCTGTGCCTTTAAGAAGATACCATGTAGAGTTCATAAAATATTACAGTGGACGCGGGCTATGCTCTACATTTCATGAGAAACGTTGGCAAACGGACATGTGCGATACTGTATGAATGGACACTGCACGGTCTTAAAAATCTCATAGTTAAAAACTTTCTCATAAGCTAAATTTACCCTTTTTCGGGTATAAAATACGAAGATAACGTGAATCTCTACCGAGCGAGTAAAATAAAGCACATTTTTATGCATGTTTTCTACAAAATATTTTTGAATTTATAAGACCATCAAAAATCACTGTGCACGCTACTTAAGCAGTCATTTTTTGGTGAGTGCGGTTTCTACAGGAGGTCAAAAAGAAATACATTCACAAGTCGACATCCTGGCGAGTTGGCGAGACATCATAGGATTATGCCGCGGGATAATCAATATTACAACCCCACCTAAGTAATCCCTCCTAATCGAAAACGCATTTCAAAATTTCGGTCAAAATTTCATGAGATCGGTCACTCACTGTAGGCGTAGGGAAGTCACTAAGACTCAGTATTTATGGTACACAGCTGCTGTGAGACCACAATCTGACTATAATTAGCAGCTCTAGGGTAAAGTGATACCATTCTAAGAGCAAAGATACAGGGCTTTTGGCTAACACCTGTGCTGTTTGTGTGGTATCCCCTTATCCCAGAGTATACTACTAGCTGCCTGTCGGCAGTTAATGAATATTACGCGGTTACCCGCTGTGGCTGATGAACTTTGGCTCAAATACCCATACATAAAATTCTCGGTCTGAGCCTATAGACCTTGAATAAACTGATCTACTGCATGTTCGCAGATAATTTCTGAGGAAATTAAAAAAACGACTATAATTAGCAGCCTCCGCGGTCATTGAAATTACGTCTGTGGCCCCACGTTTGCCCTTTGAGAGTCTTCCACATATGCGCAGAATCGGTTCTTGCACAGGGCACACAGCAAGCGCTGAGACTTTCCCCTTGACAGGGGAATCAGTCACGTGAGGATGGCGCGGACGAGCGACAGCTTTAGTGACAGCGAGCCAAATTGACAATTAATCGTCGGGCCAACATCCAACACTGATGATGAAATCGCAGACATTAAGGAATCGAGTGTGGGCTGACAGGTCATCGTCGTATCAATTACGACCCCCAGCGGTGATGGCGAGAACTACGAATTATAGTACGAGTGTGAGAATGCGGAACGTCATGCGAAGGAACTTTTTGTTCCAACGCTCGCATCTTCTTTCTTTTTAAGCGGCCTTCCAATGATTCGGTTGAATAAAGAGGAGTGCTCCTACTGCTTTATCTTTGAGCGTTAGTCCAAAGCCCTAGACCTGGTTGACCTGGCTCATACCTTGCCGGTTGTGATCGGCGATGCCTAAAAATCACCTGAAAGCGGGGCTTCATCGATCCCGTTGACGGTATTTCCTCCTAAGGGTTTTTCCTTTATGCCTGAAGGCACAACACTTGGCTGTTGAGTTATGTTTAAAAAATCCACGGGATCTTTCCACCCATGAAGAGCCATTTAGTCCCCTTTCGTAAGGAATTCTATTATCCTCTTTACTCTTACCGGGGTAGTAAGGACTACAGTTCTTTGTTCAGCCAGCTTCACTCATTTTATCGCGAGAGGGCAAAACTGCCCACGTGCATACCAGTTCATGACACATCCTGGACTCCCCTATAAAGTCGCACCGTCAAACACCCCAGCTCACGCCTGACTGATTATCAAGAGGCCAACTGGATTGGTCGTATCTGGTTCATTTTTGATCCCTGCTCTGATAAGGTCAGCACCGATAACAGCTGAAATAGCGTATGTACATGGTCCAGGCGGTAGGGAACGAGGGTCAACCGCCAAGTGGGCCTGGTTTCGAACCAGAGGTCGTTGCGACCTGAGATCAGAGTATGGCTAGCTGACGAGGGTAACTAACGCCGAAACGACAATTTCCAACTTTTCTGATTGGTCGTCGGTGTACACTTACAAAGACTTCATGCCCACTGTGTACCTCACAGGTGGGTGGGCACGGAGATGGCGACTTGCGCAGCGCCCACCACACATTTTCCTCCTTCACCAACCTGAACCCGGTGTCATGATAATATCACAAGGACCGGACGCGGGCTCAGACGCAGGTAACTTGGGCTGCATGAGTCCGCACCAAGACGTACCACTACGTTCCCCCTCCTATGTGTGGCATTTATTATGGGGGCGCATCCCCAATAATGCCTACCATACTATGGCCCCTGCGTTGGTGCAGCACGCCTTCGTCGTGGCCCGTTTTAGGGGACGCGATGGCAATCAATCCTCAGGTAGCTTCCAACTCGCCTTTAACTTTACGCTCCTTGTGATCTCCTAAACTTTCATCAAACCTGCCCCTATAACTTGTTCTTCAAACACCGCAATCTTTAAGCCGGACTAGCATGCAAAAAACAATGCCGAATTTTTATGTACGAGCCCTTGCTGACATAGTATACAGTTTGGTGGTTAACAGATTCAGTAACATGAAAGGGATGAGTGATCGGTGATCTAGGCACAATGAGTAGGGAACACAGGCAGACGATTATAAAGTTGGCTAATTCAATAACTCGACTCTTTCAAATAACTAAACCATGGGTGCTGTGAGCCGTTTGGGGGGCGGGGTGGACAGAAGGTTGTTGACGCGCCTCTACACCTGCTTTTCACTTTTTCAGTCTTCTCTCTGCCCTGAGTTCCTTTACTTATTTCCTGCTCTGGGACCCGCAGGTACTTCCTGAGTCTCCGCTTGTACAGGCATATTCACTACAATTTCATAGACAACTGGTTTGGGCTTATCCTCGTATACAATTTGGAGACTTTGTGGCTGAGGGCGCTGGCGTCCCCTCCTGGTTGTGGGTCTTCGTCCGAACTCGGGAGTCACGCCAGGCCTCCCTTCGCCGGCTTGCAGGCCACTCTCAGGACTCCCATGCTTTGTGCCTCTTCCATGAACTTGCCCTTCAACGTGGCCTCTGCTAGTACCGGCGTCAGAAGAATCTCGTACGGCGCCCTCACTTGACCTCGCGTGAGTATCACCTGTATTGCGGCGCTCATCTGTGGGTCTTCCGTCCGTGTGGTGTGTGGGCCATTCAACACTTATTTCTGGTTTCCAAGGCCTTCGTTGACCCTCACGGTCTTGGCCGGTGGGGTGGCTATCAACAGACCGCCGGTCTCCTGATTCGACTGGAGCTGCGACCCCCGGAGAGTGAATGCGCGGATCGATACCGTCCGGAAACCTGATGGCTATGGTTTCCCTGGATGAGTGTCGTGGATCTGCGTCGCGTTCATCTGACCTCGCCTGGATGTCAATCGCATTACGACGCTCATCCTTGGGCCTTCCGTCCGTGTGGTGTGTGGGCCATTCAACACTTATTTCTGGTTTCCAAGGCCTTCGTTGACCCTCCCGATCTTGGTTGGCGGAGTAGTTGTCAGGGAGTCGCCGGTCTCCTGATTCGACTGTAGCCGCGACCCCTGGAGAGTGAATGGGTGGAGCGATGCTGTCCGGAAACCTGGAGGCTATGGTTTCCCTGGATGGGTGTCGTGGATCTGAGTCCCGTCCATCCGACCTCGCCTGGATATCAACTGCATTAGGGCGTCCATCCCTCGGTCTTCCGTCCGTGTGGTGTGTGGGCCATTCAACGCTTATTTCTGGCTTCCAAGGCCTTGGTTGACCGTCACGATCTTGGTTGGTGGGGTGACTGCCAACGGACCGCCGGTCTCCTGATTCGACTTGAGCCGCGACATTGGGAGAGTGAATGCGTGGATCGATGCCGTCCGGAAACCTGATGGCTATGGTTTCCCTGGATGGGTGCCGTGGATCTGCGTCGCGTTCATCTGACCTCGCCTGGATGTCAATCGAATTACGACGCTCATCCTTCGGTCTTCCGTCCGTGTGGTGTGTGGGCCATTCAACGCTTATTTCTGGTTTCCAAGGCCTTCGTTGACCCTCACGGTCTTGGCTGGTGGGGTGGCTATCAACAGACCGCCGGTCTCCTGATTCGACTGGAGCTGCGACCCCGGGAGAGTGAATGCGTGGATCGATACCGTCCGGAAACCTGATGGCTATGGTTTCTCTGGATGGGTGCCGTGGATCTGCGTCGCGTTCATCTGACCTCGCCTGGGTGTCAATCGAATTACGACGCTCATCCTTGGGCCTTCCGTCCGTGTGGTGTGTGGGCCATTCAACGCTTATTTCTGGTTTCCAAGACCTTGGTTGACCGTCACGATCTTGGTTGGTGGGGTGACTGCCAACGGACCGCCGGTCTCCTGATTCGACTTGAGCCGCGACACTGGGAGAGTGAATGCGTGGATCGATGCCGTCCGGAAATCTGATGGCTATGGTCTCCCTGGATGGGTGTCGTGGATCTGCGTCGCGTTCATCTGACCTGGCCTGGCTGGCAACTTCATTAGGGCGCTCATCCTTGGGTCGTCCGTCCGTGTGGTATGTGGGCCATTCAACACTTATTTCTGGTTTCCAAGGCCTTCGTCGACCCTCACGATCTTGATTGGTGGGGTGGCTGTCAGGGAGCCGCCGGTCTCCTGATTCGACAGGAGACGTGGATGACGTGGAGGCTATGTTTTCCCTGGATGGGTGCCGTGAATCTGCGTCGCGTTCATCTGCCCTCGCCTGGATATCAACCGCATTGCGACCCTCATCCTTGGATCTTCCGTCCTTGTGGTGTGTGGGCCATTCAACACTTATTTCTGGTTTCCAAGGCCTTCGTCGACCCTCCCGATCTTCTTTGGTGGGGTGGCTGTCAGGGAGTCGCCGGTCTCCTGATTCGACTGGAGCTGCGGCACTGGGAGAGTGAATGAGTGGAGCGATGCTGTCCGGAATCCTGAAGGCTGCGGTTTCTCTGTGTTTTGGGTCTCCTCCGTGAACTTGCCCTTCAACGTAGTCTGCGTCCTTGTCGGCATGCTTGATTCGTCCATCGGGTGAATCACGATGATGCGTGGTCGCAGAAGGGTCTCGCGGAACTGTGGCGCCCTCACTTGACCTCGCCTCCATATTCTCTTCAGGACGTCGCCCATATTCTTGGCCTCTGCCTCCGCTGTACGCGGACCCATCGACACTTATCCTTGGTAGCCAAGGCCTTCTCTGGTCGTTTTGATCTTGCTTAGCGGAGTCACCGTCGGTTGGTCGCAAGTAAGGACGCCTCCAGTCTGCTGGTATTGCTGGCTCTGCTACACTGGGAGCTCGGATGAGGGGAGGAGTAATGTCTGGAAGCCTGAAGGTTAAGGTTTTCCCGGCGGGATCTCGCGGAGCGGTGGCACCATCACCTGGCCCCGCCTCGGAACCGTCCTCATTGCGTCTCCCATCCTCGGACCCTCTGCCTCCGGTGTGCGCGGGTCCTTCAACACTTACCTTTGGTATCCAAGACCTCCGTTGCTGGCCTTGATATTCAGTTGCTGAGTGGCTGTCAGTGGGTCGTAAGTAAGGGCGCCGCCAGTCGGTTGGTATTGTTTGTCTTTCAACGTCGGGAGACTGGATGAGGGGAGGGCTAATGTCCGGAAGCCTTACGCCTATGCTTTCTCTTAATGGCTGTCGCGTATCTAGCTCATGTTCGCCTGAACCAGCCTCAGAACCGCGATCGCGGCGACGCTCATCTCCGGCATATTGAACACTGATCTCTGGTTTCCATGACCTTCGCTGATCTGCGGAGTGACTGTCGGTGAGCCGCAACTCGGGACTCCGATGGTCTCCTGATTTGCCATGAGCCGTGTCCTCGCGTCTGTTTGAGCTGCCTTCCGCGTCTGATCCATTTGCCCGCAGTTGGAAGTCGAGAACCTTGGGTAATGCCCTGAATAGGCCTGAAGCTAAAGTGGTTGAAAGGCAGGAAAAAGGAGGAAGGGTAATTAGTTTGAGAAAGCCGGGAATATGTAACACACCTTTTTGGGTCCAAGAAGTTTGGTTTTGTTCGGTCCCATTGGCTGGGGTGCTGGCCTCGTAAACGGTCTAAATGGACGAATTGGATAAAAACTTATCAGCTGTTAGCCTGAAACAGAACAGATTGCAGCTTACAACCTCAAACTGGCCCAACGGGCTCAGATTCCGATGATTGGGGAAAACACTTTGTTTCATAGCAGTACTTAGAAGACGAGTCGGAACGCATACGTTGCTTTCGATAGGTTCTCCTCAGGCCAGGAATATAGTCAAACATGTCAGTGATTAGAAAATCGATAAACGTTAATTGTAAAACACAGTTGGGGCGAGAACGGAATGGCGCAGATAGTTGCTTGTAGTTAGTCGACCTTTGGCCATGGTAGGCTCGGAGTCTGAGCAAGATTCTTCAGCGCGCATAGGGTCGGCTTTCGGAACCTAATTGTGCCAGCTTCTGCTGTTGCCAACAGACACTGGCCTAGTAGTTTAGGGTAGCTTATAAATCTGATGAAAAGCTTTGTCGGGGTCCGTGCGATGCCCCGAATCAACTGTATGCGCAAGAATGGCGCACGAACTTTGTCAGTTGCGTACCCCTTCCAACAAAAACGGAATCTAGTCCGGTGTTTGACATAAAAGGCTAGAAAAATTCGTTCAACAGGTAACATCGAGGAGGAGCTCAGTAGGTTTCCAGCAGACAACAAACTTGAGTTTTCGTCGTGCGGCAACAGGAGTGTTGGTGAAACACGCGTCTCTATATAATGGCACAGGCTCCTGTACGCTTTACTTCCTTTTAGCCATTCCATAAGACGTTCCATCTTCAAATTTTGTGTTGCGGCAGGTTTTTTCACAGATTTTCTGCAATGAATGTGCCGATTGGCGACCATATTATTCACGCCTATTGATTGCAGATTACCATCTAACTGGGACGTTTTATTCCACAGCACAGAGAAAATGGCCAGTGAATAAATGCATTCCGTCTGACTCATCGGAATTCTCACCTTGTCATTAGAAATCATCATTGGGGAATGAAACAGGGGGAATATAATATTTGCAGAATGAGCCTTCTTGCACACCACTAATTTCTCCGAAGTACTGCTTGATCATGCCACGTCACTGTGATCCCTTATCCTGTTTACGTAGCGTCTTAGCGTTGTGAAGAATGTAGGGCGATCATTTCGTTTGTGGGCCGAATCTAGGCCCGAGGGCTGCAACCCGAGCAGATTGTGACTCATATCATTGTCGCCTCACGGGAGAATTTTTGCCCCTTTTAAATTCACTACTCACCTTGCCCAGCCGTCTTGTTCCTCATAGTTTCTTCGGGCTTTTCCAATGCCATATTGGAGTCTCTGTGCCTGGTAACTCAAAACCTTTCTCCGGTGATCAATTAACTCAAAGTTTCACCTGTCGTCAGTAGGCCCCGACTCCTCCCTATTACGCAATATTAACTGGCCCAGTTTGGTCTTTAAGTCGTTATTCTAAGTTTGTCGCGGCTCATCGCTAGAAGCCTAGAGAATTCAGATATAGTTTTCGCGAATAAGTCTTTTTTTCCGATTTCCGAGGTACGAAGCCGCCACAGACTGAGAAAGCAGTTTTCGCTTATTTATTTCCTTGCCTCTCTTCCGCCTTCATTTTCTCATAAAGTAATTTTCCCTCGTACTTCCTTTTACTGAAAGGCGGACCTGGAAAACTCAGTCTTTATTTGCAGAGCCCCCGAAAGCATCGCCGGATGCTCTTCTGTCTTAATGCTCTTGAGGTAGTTCTCTTTTCGATCGATCTTTACGCCGCCTTCATCTGTAGTCCGCGACTTGACGAAGTTGTGCCGTCCGTACACGCTGTCTTGCTATAATCAGCCAATTCCCCCCCTCTCCCTTCTCACCACACTCTGCAAACACGGACGTGGCTAGCAGGTTACACTTAAACACCAGCCTTGGGGACATAACGGCTCTTTCTCCAACAAAGCATAACATGCAACAGGTTTATTGCTATTAAATGAGCTCAGTAGACCTGGAGTACTTTGTTCTTTTGGGGAGTCGTGTGTAGAGGACACGCCAAGTTGATTATTGATGGAAAAGAAAAACGTGACATGCCATGGTTGCTGTCATTTTTAAAATTTTTCTGTCCCCTTTCAAATTGCAAGGAAGGTTTGTTCTGCGGCATAGGTTGTCCTAGGTAGACTGGATTCGTTTGGTGCAAAAATCTGACCGAGCAGAAAGAACTACAGATCGAGGCACGCTAAGTTGATTATTGGTGGAAAAGAACAACGTGACATGCCATAGTTGCTGTCATTTTTAAAATTTTTCTCTCCCCTTTCAAATTGCAAGGAAGTTTTTTTCTGCGGCATAGATTGTCCTAGGTAGATTGGATTCGTTGGGTGCAAAAATCTGACCGAGCAGAAAGAACTACAGATCGAGGCCAGTTAAAAAAGGCCTGTATATGAGTATTTGGAATGCATGGTTAGTGCTCGACATTTAGTGCACAAAAATGGTACTAGATGTAAATAGTAGCATGCTCACTCATAGTACGACTTTTGAAACTAATGTGGCATTCCAAACCCTAAGCTGGATATTTTGTACTTTCGTCCAAGAGAATTACATTGAAAAGTCAAGTTGGCGACCGCACGTTTTCGGTAATTCTTCCTCAGGCCAATACAATTACATAAACGAATGAAAATGTACAAAATCAACATTAGACTGCATGCTGACGTTGTTTGCCATCCGTTTCAAAATTGGCTTTTAGGCTCTGCTTCAATACAGTTGTCCTCATTTTTTCAAATCAATCTTTTTTAGGTAGGTAATTTATAACTAACAATGTGATAAAAGTACCAGCCTGTGTAATAAGGGTTGAGCTTATATTTTGCCGGAGTGTACACGTTTCGTCGCGAACGTGTGCTCGCCTGCGTTTCCTATGTGGATTATAGTGGGCAAGACGGAATTTTTAATCATCAGTGCCAGACCCATGATTCTGAGGCCATCAGGTTCCGCAGGATAATCGTTCGATGCCCATTCTGCAAGCACTTCGTGCTAGTAGTAGTAGTTCTAGTAGTGGTGGTAGTAGTAGTAGTAGTAGTAGTAGTAGTAGAAGTGGTGGTGGTGGTAGTAGTAGTAATAGTAGTAGTAGTAGTAGTAGTAGTAGCAGAAGTGGTGGTCGTGGTGGTAGTAGTGGTAGCAATAGTAGTAGTAGTAGTAGTAGTAGTAGTAATCGTAGCAGAAGTGGTGGTGGTAGTAGTAGTAGTAGTAGTAGTAGTAGTAATAGTAATAGCAGTAGTAGTTGTAGTAGTAGTGATGGTGACAGTAGTAGTATAATTTTATAGGATGATGGTTTTAACAAACTGCCAACATGGGTGCTAGCCAAAAGCCCCTAAAGGTGTTTCACTGATGTTTCTGCTGTTTCATAATGCAACTGCTGTGGGATCGTCTGCTCCCAAGCTTCTGGTAGATTATTAGTAGGAAGAATTGTCCAGGACACGAATGTTTTCTGGTTAACAGGCAAAACTATCAACTTCAGCAGGATCATAATCTTAATGCCTTGGTGCTCCCCGAGTGCCTTCTTACATGTACTCTAGTCTTCATGATGGAACTTGTAATTTCTCTATAAATTATCTGGCACATTAACTATATCGAAATCGGATCTATCCATGAATGTAATTGCACTGGACACTAGTACTTATTCAAGCTTCCCGTCCGGGTGCTCGCATTAACCTCAACTTCACCAAAAATTACGAAATTCTGGCAATTTTAAATGAAGATATTGCAAGTAATATCTTTTAATCCTATTACGTACCCTTCCAATCGCGATCCCCACCGAGACAATAAGAAGAAT